GGGAGGGGTTTTGCAATCTGCATGCCCGTCTGTGACCGGGGGTGTAGGGTGGGCATGGGGTGGCGGTCGGGTTTGTTTGGTAGGGGGGAGAGGGAGGTGAGACTTAGGGTGGAGCGGGGTGGAGCGGAGTGGAATGGAATGGTGGCCAATGATGGTTTTTTTTGCTTTTTCTTTCTTTTTCTTTTGCTTTCGTTTGGTGGCCTGCCTGTCTTGCACCGCACCACCACCACCAACCGCTACTTAGCTCTTTACGGCGCCCCGCCCCGGCCTGCGAAGCGAGTGATTCCACTTATGCCCATGCTCACGCCCTTCTTCGTCCGTCCGTCTGTCCATTCATCCCGTTTTACGCGCCACGGCTGAAGAAAAGGTAGGGCCAGGGCCAGAGTCCCGCGCCAGTAGTGCAGCCAGAGCGCAAGCCAGTGCGCTTTCCTCTTTCCCCTTCTCTTTCTTCTTCTTCTTCTTCCTCCTCTCCTGTATGCACGCACGCCACCCCACGCACCCACTACACCATTTTGCCACAGGCTGGTGCTGCGTCGGCGTCCGCGTTGCGGTACGGTGTGTATATCGCGGACATACACGTCCACGTACGCGGCCCGCGGAGCTGTGCACATGCAAGCAGCCAAGCAAGCAAGAAAGCAAGCGAGGAGACAGCGAGGCGGGTTACAGCTCGATGAAGCGCGACGTGGTACGGTGCGGTGCGGTGCGGTGCCGTGTGGTGGACGCGGTTCGGGTCGCTGGTGCGGCGTGGAAGCGTGGCGGGGCGGTCATGGTGGAACATGTGGTCGGGCGGTCATGGTGGAGGCTTGTGGGGTAGCTGCCTGTTTGTCTGTCCGTCCGGTTGTTTGTCGCGCGCCTGGCTGGCTAATGTCCTAGCTCTTTTCCTACTGTCGTGTATGCTGTGTCAATGGAAGCGGCTATGGAGGGCGAGAATACCGATGGGAAGGCGAGGCGGCCGTTTTGGTGGTTTAGGATCAAACCGAGAGGAGACAGCAGCAGCAGCAGCAGCGAGGCAAGAATATAGCCCAACACGAGCGGCCGCGGCGAGTACACCACCACAGCCAGCCTCGAAGGGGGCCCGCATCAACAGCATCGTCGGAGTCATCACCAGCACCCCCACAGTCTCATCCATCTCTTCATCAGCATGACGACGACAAAAGAAATAAAATTTTGAAGAGATCCACCACACGCACCCTACACGGGCGCATCTCCGCGCCCAACATGCGCCACATGCGTCCCGCCGCCATCGCCATCCTCATGAATCGGCCTCACCATATCCATCACATACGGGTCCTTGTAATGGCGCCTGACATCGCCGCCATTCCCGCTCGCGCTGTCCAGGCTGTGATACGTGCGCAGCTCCGTCTCCGAGTCGGCGCTGCGCGACAGCCGCTGCTCGCTGCGCACAATGACCTCGTTGGTCACGAAGATGCGGTCGAATGACAGGGACGAGATGATGGGCCAGAAGACCGGCACCGACGCGCATAGGATCGCCACGTCCACTTCGAGACAGGACAGCGCGATGCCCGTCGAGCCGACGAATGTCGGGTCTGGAATGGGCCAGAGCCCCGCGTGCGTGCGCACGAGCGCCGCCACGCGGATCGCGCTGATGATGACGACACTGTCGTGCGGACCGTTGTGTTAGCTTTGCTTCGGCTTGAGGGATGCTTCTGGCTGCACCAAGGGTCACTCACCCGCAGCCCATAAATAGTAGTCCGGCTATGCCGGCCCGCCGGCGGCCTTGGAAGTCAGAAGATGAGAGGCCTGTTAGAGGAAAGAGTAGGACGATGGCGTCGAATGCCATGTTCGCGCCGGTGTGGCTGATGAAGCCGACATAAAATGCTACTGGGTCCGTTTTGCCTGTGCCGAACAGAAAACAGTGGCCCGGCACTTCGGTCCACCATTTGTACACCGGCCAGCAGCTGAACATAAGAAGGAAAAAGTATGTCGTGCCCCAAAGGCTCACTATGACAATGAGGCCAACGCAGCAGCCGTGAAGCACGGGCTTGGTCTTGAAAAGACGGAGATATTGTACCAAAAGAGAAACTTTGATCAAGGTGGTCGAAGCAAAGTATGAGAGACTGGAATTCCAGAATGTCTGCGCGGAAGTTTAGCAGATTGAGAGACCGCCTTGTTCGGCGAGAGTGCTTACATGGAGGTATTCCCCATATACGCCAGTATCAAGATCCCAGACGTGTTGTCCCAATCCATGTTTGGGAACTTATAAAGTATTAGTGAAACATGTCTTTTTCTGGTGGCAGGTGGTGACTGACATTGTGATACAAAACCCGTCCCTATCGTGACCGAAATCTGAAGCGACCATCAAGGGTTAGCATAAGCAACAGAACTCAACTAAGGTCTCCCTTACACAAGCCAAAACAACCCAGACGTCATCCCACCCTGGGCTGTGGGCGAGCTTGAAACGAGCGTAGAGTCTAAACAAAACGGCCAGCCACGCGATGACCTATTGCGTAAATCAGCAAACAGCAACACCGTTTTGGATCATGTCGGAACATACCTGGAAGGTGATAATGAAGCCCAAAAGAGTGGCAGGATCATTCATAGGATCCACATATTGAATGGTGGTGGAAGAATCGTTGGAGGTCATGATGAATGGTACAGGTGCATCGTATCCAATGGCGAAGGGTAGTCAACGGCTTGCAGCCCCAAACCCAGGTAAAAGGATGGCGCCACAGGCAGGGCAAATACCTTTAAGGACGAGGTGGACTCGAGACGGGAGGACAAGCGAACGCCATTTTGCGTGCAGACCCCGGGGGCTGGTCCATGAAGGGGTGACACACCAGTTCGGCAGCGGCAGATGGGTAGCGAGGATTTTGGCCACCCGCTCCAATCAGCATGCTGCTTTGTCGCCAACGGCCAACCAAGCCAATCAGCCGTTTGCTCTGTTCTCGCGAATTGACACGGAAGGCCCACCCTCGCTGCCCTGTTCGCGACCCTGTTACATGGAGAGCACTTGGAGAAGCTGGGATCATGGTTGGAGCTCCTGCGGATACCCACCCACGCCCCGTGTGATTGGAGGCGCCGTATCCCTTGACCTGAATTAGGCCGACTGACGGTGAGCCCACCGCCCGTTACATTCTTCTGTCGCTATTGCCATCAGATCACCGTGATTCCCACCTTGATCATCACTGATCGGCAACCGCCGCAGGCGTCTACTTCTGCGGGCCGCTGAAGCGCGATGAGCGCCTGTGAGGCTGTGAGGCTGTGAGGCGACTTCCATCGGCATCCTTCAACGGTCGGCATCCGCTCGGGCCTCTGAAAACCCTTCAACGGCGCGCTGACCTCTTTTTTTTTTCTGCTGGCGTGAGTTTGTACAAGCTACCCGTTGCCTAGGATTTGGTATACAACCTAGCGTTCCCGCCACGGACACCCGTGAGGATCATCCCCCTGCGCCTTTAATATAACGTTCGTTAAACTTGGGGCGAGGTAGTCCGGCAAGCGAGAACTCGGTTGTTCAATATACGTTGTATGGCAGACAACACAGCACTGCAGACTGTGCAGACGGCCGGTCCTCAGTGGCGCGGCGCCACAGTCTCTGGGTTTTTCGAAGGATCAAAGGGTCCCCAGCTAGTCTCCGGCGGGGTCTACTGTTCACGTCTAGGCCTTCTCTCCGCGATCGGCTTGTTGAGCTATATCCGGAGTCTTCACCGCCCTCCGGGAGCGTGGATATATGATTAATGCGTGATCCTGCTCGCGCGAGCAGAAATCAAGGGGCCATGGGATTCAGGAATCGTGTCGGAATGAGGGGCAGCCGGCATGCGTACGTACGCACGTACAGGAAATCCTTTGTTGAATCATGCTCCAGCTTTTCGGCCCGCACCAAGGCACCAAAGGCCGGCATGCCGGCGAGGCGTTAATGTGCCCGAGGGCTTGCGCGAGGAGCGGACCGAGCCTGAGGCGTGCTGGGCTGCCGCTGCAAAGCTTTCTACGTGCGTATTCGCTGACTCGCTCGTGGAGAAGAAGTGTTGGTGGTGAGAAGAGGGCTGGAGGGAGGTTAGTGTCGGGGTACGCGTTCTTCGTCAAGCGTGTTTCTAGAACGACTCGTCGGCCCGCTAGAATAACCGAGTCCCCGCACTCCATCGCGGGACTCCAGACTGGCTTCTCTTGCGTCTTCCATCTCTCTTCTCTCTCTGCCCACTCACTCACACCCACTCTCATCGCCACCTCACTCTGCCACCTTAATTCTGCTACTCTCTCTCACACTCACTTCCTTCTCGTTTTCTTCGCCGTCGACAAGCTCGCGCGCGCTTCTTCTAGCCCCCAATCCCAGGCACACGGCACCAAACGACGATCCCCGAGCGATTATTGAATTAATCGGGACGTCGTCATGGAAACATTAGCAAGCAGGCATCGGATGTCCATCTGCCGCTCGGGATGCATGACGACACGCGACCCGCCGCATAGCACAGCAAAGGAGCAAAAAAGTTTCAGACGATGCGACCGGTGAATGTCATGCATATGCGGGAGATGACGATGGCGACAACGACATATGTGGCGACGGTGACAGCGCGCGCTCAAAGCCAGCCAGCTGTTGGCCGGTCAGAGCCTCACACGGACGTTGTCGGCGATCAGCTGAACCTCCCGCAATCCGCAAGCGCCGTTCACGCACATATCACATGCAGTCCGAAAATCCGATCTATGGTGATCGGCCTCCTATGCCTCTTGCGCAGCTATATTTCCGTCTGCTATTGTTGTCCCTCCCGCACGCCCCCAAAAATAGCAGAGAAAAAGCAATGTCACACCATCGTATGCGGCATTGCGACCTGCATCGGGCTTGTGGGGCTGAAGCTTAAGAGTACGTCACCGCAAAGTCTACCACCGACTACCACGTACTGTACTGCAATGCGACTCGTTTTGATGCATTTTGTGCTACATCTATCAATGGAAACAGCTTGCGTGCCCTGGTGTCGCCCTTCTCAGAGCCAGTGCAGGTACGCAGCGCAAGGACCCGGCAGCGCCGCCTCCGCCTGTCACGCTCCCCGAGAGGAAAGAGCGCGTTCACGCGCGCCTTCGTCCGTGCTATTCTCGATGCTAAAAGCAAGGCTTGCTACAACATCTCGCGCCACCATCCACTGTGAACACTATCCAGGCACCTAGGCACTGAGACACGCTCGTACGCATCTGCTTTTTACATCAAACCGCACGCGCAGATACCGCTCAGCCCCACGCAGATAAATAAGCAGGCACGTGGAATCACTATACATCATCGTAGTTCTTTGATAACCAAGGCCCATCAACAACGTTTCACTGCACGGTGAACAGCAGTATCATCTATATCACACCCCACGCGCGCCGTCGTCAGATCCGTGGCATCCCCAGTGCACGTGTGTGTTCGTACAATACTGTCTTCTGTATCAAATTGATTGAAACGGATTATCGCCCCGCCGACTTTCGCCTTGACCTTCCTGTTTCTTGTATTGTACTTACTAGTAAGCTTGAAATTGGGGCCTGCGTCGTCTCCGCGCGGCAACATCCGCCGCAACCGCACGGAAACACTATCCAGATGCTTCCTCACCAGTGCCCGCCAGCAATTGCAACCCAACTCAACCAGCTTCTCCCAGCAAACTCTAAAATGACTGAGAATTTACCCAGGCCTCGACCTCCACACCTCGCGCGCACAGGACGGCCAATGGCACAACGACGTTGTCTCGGAAATTGATCGGCGCAGGGGCCAGCACCGGGCCAGGCACGCCAGGCACTACCGGGACCATACAATACCAACCTCTGTCTTATCTAGATACTTCACCTAACCCGTGGCTTTCGCCTCTCATTTTCCTGGGGAAAAAAGAAACATACACAACGGTCCGCGGCATTGTGCAGTAAGGCAAGCAGCTCGGCTAGCACTTTCGCCAACGGCTCTGATTGGTGAGTGAGATTAGTTATGAAACTTCCTTATCTGCTCATTCTCTTCACACCGTCATGTTTTCTGCTTTGGGATGCAGTCTCCGAGATCTCGGTTGGTTAATACCCCTGAGCCACTGCAAAGCCAACCCACAGCCTGAAGTGCAAGTGTGTGTACCTTAGGTAACGCTTCCAATGCCAACAAGGAAGCAAGAACCGTCTCCGCGGCTCCAAGTCTTAAAATCGGGCAATATCGCAGCCACACACGCGCGTCCCCCCTCTCGGCTCTTCTCAAAGCAGCCTCGGCGGCGACTATCACCAACTGTGTACGTAGGAGCAGAGTCAGGTCCGGTCCGGTCACGTCAGGCGGCCTTGCGGGAGCTTCACTGCAATCACGTCTAGGCCAGCCTGTCTGTCGGCGCTGTGGTCCTGGTGGAGATCATCCACTATTGTTGCGCCCCGCCGTGTGAAATCTCCGCCGCTGCTGCCGGCCCTGCAGAAAAACGGGAGATCCGGGTAAAATATTTTTTTTTCTCATTCTTTTGTACGGGTTCGTGTCTGATCTTCGCCATGGCTGTCGCAGACGCACAGTTGACTTGGTACACCGCGGAGCACAGGACGAGGGCAAGCGCGACTATCGTAAGTGTTCTTTGCACCCAAGACGTACATACCTACCACACACCACCGGCGCTCTTTCCCGAACAACAACTCTTACCTACACACATGCCTCACCTCCCACCGCACACGCACACAGTCCCGTCCCGTCCGCTTCAAATTCCCCTTGATCCCCGGTGCCCAGAGCTTGCTCATCCACACAGCAGTGCACCCCAAGACCCAACAGAGCCCAACCACTCGTCCCGGCATTGCGTGTATCCATCTCGCCGGAACACACATACACACACGCTCAGTCATCCCGCCCTGCTGGAGCCGGATTTACAACAGATATGCATTTCCGATCCGGGCGCCGGAAGGCTGGACGCGCGGTGCAGCAAGTTTACAGCGGACGCATAAACCCCGCGACGCGCCCCACTGAGGGGCACCAAGCAAAGACACCAAGCGCGCGCAACGCCAACTGAGTGGCTGGTTGGCCGGGCCGGCGCGGCACGGGTGACGGGGTACATACGGCGGGCATGCGCCGCGCTGCGAAACACGCTGCGTGCCTGCGCTGTGTGGGAGGGGGTATCGAGTAGTGTTGGGTCGCCCACGCGGCCTCTCCCTCTCTGTCTCTGTTTCCTGTTTCGATCATCTCCGGAAACCTTGCCCCCTCGTCCGGCCCGGTTGTACGGAGTACGTTTCCTGCTACAGCACTCTCGGCCTTGCCTGCCTCGTCCTGCCTGCGTACCGTACATACCGTGCCCGCGGCGCCTCTTCCCGCTACCAGGCCCAGAGCCGGGACGCCCGCGCACGCGCACGCGCACGCATGTGCGCCGCTCGGCCCGTCAAACGTGCCTTTATCTCCGCAGGTTTGGCTCGCCGGTCGATGCCGGTGCGCGGTGCTGGGTGTAGAGATCGCGGGCGCGCGATAGCCAGTCTCGGAACAGACGGGCAGAGATCGTGGGGCTGTGGCCGCGGAGGCGGCACCTCCTGGCTGGCATACCTACCTGGGTAGTCGGCTTCGCGCCAGGGTGGTGTGATTCTTGCGCTACGCTGAGCCGTGCTGCTCGGAGTGCCGGCTTTGGCGGCGAGACTCGAGAGCGTTTGGGGCGGCTGTCTGGGCTTTGGGCTCTGGACTCTGGCCTCGGGCTGGTGCTGGGCGTGCGTGGCTGGGCGCTTGGTGCTTGGTGCTTGGTTGGTGGCGTTGCGTGAGATGAGGCCGGGCGGGTGTAGTTGCGGCGACTGTGGCTTGTGGGTGGGTCGGAAGGGTGAGAGGCTTGGTTCTGGTCCGCGAGTATAAGTATAAAGACGCTGCGAGGCACGGCGGTGCTTGTCGGACAGCGAACGCTTCTAAGAGAGGTGAGCGGTCTGGTCTGCTGTTTTTGGCTGGTGAGGCATGCGCTTGTGCTGATTCTACCGTGTTGGTGGCGACTGTGGAAGTGCCTGGTATGTATGTAAGCTTTGAGAAGAGCATGGAAGGATGGGTGTGGGCGCTTTCGATCGTTTCTTAACCCGTGATGCACTGGACGTGTTGTTATGGACTGACTATAGGTACGTAAGTGGCATTCAGTGACGCTTACTTAGAAGACAGCTTAAACATCACCGTTATTCACCTGCAGGCGCAAACAACGCTTTACTTACTCTCTTTTACACAAAAAATCCGCCGGCTCCTGGAGTCCTGGCGTGGGGTTTAAAACTAATTCCCGTAACTGGTGCCTCCCTTCTCAGTCCGACTCCAACTCTCGACAATGCGCCAAATCAACACTCCAGTCCCGCCCACAAAAGAGTCATGCGGCCAGAAGCAGACACACGAACCACTAACCCTAAGCACACAGCTGCTTTCACTACACTTTCCTCGTTCGTTCGTGCGCAGTGCAGTGCCTCAAAACTCTTAACATCTAACCCCATCTCTATCGTCTGACACGGATGCCTACTATACGCTATAGTTAAAGACCTATACTACCGCTCTATTAAGATGGCTGTCTTTAATTTCTACTTGTGAAGTTGTACATGTAGTAGCCGCAAGAGGGTTTTAAAAGTACTGGAAAGATAAGGCTGGCGGCTGTAGGCTCTTTTATTAAATAAGGCTTGTATGGCGCCTAGATTTCTCGGGGTGGGTAGAGACATGAGCTTTTGTGTTCGTGTGTCGTGTGTTTGCTGTGGAGACGCTGGCTGTGGGTGTGGTGGGAGTGGGAGTAAGGAGATGGGTGAGAAAGTGGATGTTTGTTCTGCTTGGCTTACTGATGGGAAGGGGGAGACGGGTTTTTGGTGAGAGGGTTGCGGTAGGAATAGCAGTAAGTTAGACTTGATGTCTAGAAGCGAGTATTCTAGCACGTGGAACCCCTGACACTGGAAAATACGTAACCCGACGAAGCAGACCCTAAGGCTACCTTCTACGAAGCGTTAGTATCGATCCCAGCTATGCGCACCACCGGCTGTGGCTGTTGTGGCTACAACCGCTGCTACCCCTACCACACAAAGTTGTTTTCAATTGGGGGAGTATTTTCTAAGTACGATAACTTCTAAGGTACTGATTATAACCCTTAGAGTATTTGGAGCGCGGGGTTTTTTTCACCTTTTGTTTAGGTTGATGATGAATAACTATTTAGAGAATAGTGAACAAGATCTTTATGTGGCGGTGATGTGGTTTGCTTTAGATGGCTATATCGTTGATACTTCTCCGTGGATCCCACCATTTCCTCCACGCGCTCGCGCTCGTCGGCGACATCCCTGCCCGTGAGTGAGTGGATAAACTCGGGATATGCGGACGTGGGTTTGTAGTCCTATTGATGCCTTGATTGTATTGTTGTGATAGAGCTTTCGGATGGGGTGCGCGAGCGTAAGGCTAAATTGATTAGCTACGAACTTACTCCGCCTGCGATAACAAGGACATGTTGGCGTCCTTCTGGTAGTTCTTGGTAGCGGATTTTGGATTGTGTTCGAGCTGGACAGGTTACTGAGACTTAAGGGGTTTAAATATTTGCGGCCGGCTTTGGTTCAATGGAATATGGGGGGCTTGGCTGGGTATGTATGAGCTGTAGGGTGTGCAGCTTATTACTGCAGCGCGGTAGCGACCAGAGGGCCGGTGAGCGGGAGTGAGGTAAGAAGAGGGAAAGCGTAGAGTAGACGAAATATATTAGGGCAGTAGTAAACAAGGAAATGTGTATCCTGAAATGTACTGATAATAATCTCCTGTCTGTCTTAGTATTCCGGTATGCATCAACCACTTTATTGTGAACGGTTAGCCAGCTGCGGTAAGTTGCTAAGTCGAGTCTAATATTAGAATTTGTTATCTACTAATATTTAAACTATTAAGTTGCGGTTGTGCCTCTTCTTTTCTATACTCGAATACCTAAGACACCGAAATTCGGTCGTCTTTATCCTATGCCCGAGTTTGCCAATTGAAAGCTGTACGAGGGCAGTAAAAGACTTTTAGAAGCGGATGAGGTTTAGTTGAAGTTTGTGTCTTAATGTAGATATTCTGGTTTCGATGATGAAGATGTTAGGCATCAGTAATGGCTAGAGATGGGTTACATCAGCACAAGCTTCTGATCTCCAGTATCGTCACTAAAGTATTTTCTTTCACTTGAATGAGGATTGAGTAGCGTCGGATAAACCGTTAACGTTTCAACGCTGTAAGCTTAGTAACTAACACCCATACATATTCTAGGTGATCAGGTCATTTTCCCCATGTTGTCCATGTTGTTAGTTTTGTTGCTTCGGAAATACTCACTCAATGCCTTTACCGCCCTATTCATAAACCGTGCTGCCGTCAAAGCCAGTGCTTCCAATACTCGCTCACTACTCTAAATATTGCATCAGCGCTATCATCCAGACCTCAGCTGCAGTCAAATTCCGGAGCTTCAGTTTCTCATGCATTGTAACGGTGATACAAACCTTTCTGGTTCTTAGTTTGACAGATCAACAACGACACCGGCGGATGTAACAGAGCTCATCCCGCACAGAGCCCCAGACCTTACCATAGCTGTAGAGGCTTGCTGATCCGAGCAGTACTGAGTGTTTAAGACGTCTGCATATGTTATTAATTAGTCGTCTTGAGAGAAGGGTAAATATTTTTGAAAGAGAAGGGTAAGTGCTGAATGCGGGGATTGATAAACTAGGCTAGTTGAGGGGAAGATTCGAGATTTTCGGCCTTATGGCTTGTGGTTAGCAGGTTTGAGTACGTATTGCTTAAGCGTAGTCTGTTCTCCTAACACAAACTTACGCAGGATTGGTATTTTAATTTCGTTTTATGGCTGCAGTGAGAGAACACGATATTTAAGTGGACCAAGGAACCGAAACGGAGGAAGGTTTTCAATAAATAATAATATTAAGGTACCTACGACCGTTACCCTGTCGTCTAAAAGTCGTACATCGTTAGAATCCTTGTATCCCTACGACGAACCAATTTTCTAAGCTTTGGTTGTATTAACGACTCCCACGCGATTAAATGTCGGTACCTCACCATCAACACGCAACCACTCGACGATTTGCGGCCCTTCCTCGAAAGCATATACACGGCCAGCCTGCGTAGCAGCAATCGGAGAAAGCGGCAAAACATTTTCCATATTTTTGACAGAATCGACCGAGGACCACGAGCCATTGCCCAAGTAGGACAACCTCACCCCGCCATTTGTTTTCGATGTCAGAACTTGTGCGTTGAAGAACTGGTCTTCGCCCAAGTTCGACATGGCGGCTATTTTGCTGCCTTTGTCGATGGTGAGATTGCCTGCTGCAGCTTGTGAGAAATCATGTTTGTTAGCTTGGTAGGGCAATATGTGTGGACTGACGGACCGGGGTAAGCGTACTCGAGTTTATGTTGAACCATTTGGTGCTGTTTTCGGCCTGGTGCAGCTCCAACATTCTCCCATCACTGCTGCGCAGGTACATGGCAATGCGCTTTACCTCGTCTCTCTGTCTCGGTCTTTTCGGGACCGGGACCACGGCTACAGTGGTCCACTTGTCGGCACTTACATTCGCGGGCAGGACCCATCCGTCGTAGTTGTCGCTGGGATATTTGATGTTGGGGTAGCCGCGAACGTCACTGTAGACTGTGAAAGCCGAGCTTGCGCATGTCTCGCTGGGACATTGTCGCGAGTACCCTGCCAGGATAGTGTCTGGAGAAGCCCGCACCGCAACGATTTTATCGTCATTCATTTTCCAGTTGTGAGTGTCGCGGTTGAAGGCCCAGACGACGTGGACGGTGCTGCTATTGTCCATGAAAGCGAGTTTGAAATCGCTTTGGTTGTCGGGGTTATTGTCGGGCCAGTAGTTGTACGCCGCTATTGCTGTCCCATTCTTCGGATCGATGGCTGTAGTGTTATCTACTGCTTGCACCCGAGATAGACTCCAAATGTTGGTCGACTCGTCCCAATCCGCCATCCAGATCTGTAACGATCCATCTTGATAGTACACTTGCGAGTGCTCGTTTCCTTCCGTATCTGTGTAGTTCGTGGCCGCCAGGTTCGAGATTGGATTTACTCTGCCTTGGAATAATGCGTCATCATTCGATCCGGTGAAAGACTTTTCCCCACGAGACACTCCAACCCCCACACCCACGCCGACACCAATTCCGATGCTGAAGACGACGATGCTGAACACTATCCAAAGCCACTTGCGGGAATCGGTATGCCTCTTTTCTTGAGCGGCGCCTGAATAGGTTGACGCATAGGCTGGCGGATAAGCTGACTTGGGTATGGCTTCCGGATCAGTGCCTGGATCGACTTCGGGTAAAGAAGCGCTTCTGTCGACTTCAAGGGTGCCCTCCGGTAAGACTTCCAGTGTGCTGTAGTCCGGATTTCGATCGGGTACGGAAAGAGAACCGCGAGACGTTGAAGGATCTGCACCCTCTCCCACTGGCGCTAAGTTGTAGCTGGTTGCCATAGTTGCCCTGTGTAGATGGTTCAGTCGTCCAAAGGCGTCGAAAAAATTTGTGAGTTGGCCATAGATTCTTTGAATCCTCCCCTTTACTTCGACTGTCCCACGCGGATTATGGGGCATGTTAGTGCACCTCCTTGTTGTCCCACCCCATGCCATCCCCACAAATCCTCCGCCTAAACAGCTTACACCTTCAGCAAACCAACCAACCAGAAAGCATCCGCGACGTGATCAACGTATGTCTGCCTCTCCATGGGGCCAGTATACCCCTGTTTCCCCACACGCTCACCGCCCACTGACCGCAGAATGTCCTATCAAAACCCTGCCTATAGCTGACCATATATGCATTGGCAGTTGCGAAAAGAGAGTAGTAAGTAATAAGCTAGCACACACTCAGCTTCCAAAGTGATGATAACACTCGAACTAGCTAATGCTTTAAATGGCGCAAAAGCATAATACTCTACCGTCATTGATAAGTAGCACAGCGACTAACCTACCTTTACAAATTTTTACCATTTTATTTCCTTTCTTCTCTGCCATTTTTTGGGCCCCCAAAATTCTCCACTGCAGCTGGTCAGCCGTGCGAAAATCTTTCTGCAAGCCGCGGCAGCAGCGGCAAAAAACCATAGACATGGCAAGGTGGTGCAATCACCTACCTATCCATGTCATGATCGGCACACAGGACCTACAAACGGCTTGGCAGCGCACACGTCCGCTATTGTACATGTGCCAGACGATCGACAAGTCGAACATGTGAATTAGAGCGTTGATGCAGGACGGCCCTCAGTCCTAGTAAATATAGCTTCTATGGCTAATATTCGTGCGCGCTGCCGCTTCTTCAGGCTCTTACCACGGCCGCAGAGAAGGCTGTCCAGGTCTTGTCACCAGGGAAGGGCTTTCGTAAAGGAAGCGATGTCGGCCACTGATCAGCCCTTGCTCTTTTCTGGCCCATTGATGCGCTGAGATAGCCGTCTGTGAAAGAGTCAACGGCAGGCAAGGGCTGGAATCGCAACGACTTGGTCCATGGAGAGTGGTGTAGCCGTCCTGACGACGTTGAGTTTGTGTTGGAGCAGCGCGCCGGGGCGCGTCATGGCGACCCCATAAAGCGGGGCCGCGGAGAATCCGCGGAGTGTCCGCGCCGCAGCCACCCGGATCCTTCACTGTTTAATCCTCTCCTTCTTCAATGTGTAAACTGGCAAGCAAGACGGTTTACATGTTCAAATATTCTTGTTCTATCCTATTCCCAAGTATTAAAAGACAGCACAGTCGAGGTATTGTTAAAATGACGATGTAGATAATAAGTTCCACCCATCAACATCTGATATACAACCCGACTCTTCTGAACCTATGAGTATAACGTGTATATTTCCTGCAAACTCCGCCCCAGCTGTCTCAGGTAGTATAACAAGCCCATCCTGAAGGATAAGCCCGTCTACTACGCAGTCATCCATCACTGAGACATAAAAGCCGCCTCCCACCCACCATTGCACCAAACCAGCACAAATCACAACCCTCTCAGCTCCCTCACCACCACATCTTTCCACCTTTCACCCAAACCCACCAAAGCCCCCAAACAATGCCCTCTTCGCCCACCCAAAGCAGCCCACAGGTCCGTTATTCATCTCCTCCACCACCATATCCTCCGGCTCCACCCCCGCACTAACACGCACCAGGCCGCCCAAGCCGACCACATCGACGAACAAGGCCTCCTCTCCACAAACAACAAGCTCCTCCACCCAGGTCAATCCTTCCAGATCATGACGCTCGCGACTGGGGAGCGCGTGCCCACCGGCACGGTCGCGGGCTTGTTGTGCAATTTAAAGGCTTATGATGCGCTTGTTGAGGCCGAGGGGGCCGAGGGGACCGAGGCCGGAAGAGAGCGAACCGGGGCTGGAAGAGACGGAACTGGGGACGGAAGAGAAGGAACCGAAGCCACAAAGGCTGCAGCAGAAGCCACAAAAGCGCAAAAAGCGCAGCTAGAGCACGAGATCCGGCTAGCGCTGCCCCTGCTGCACAAAGTGGGCATGTTCGAGCTATTCAGCGTCGAGGAATGGGGTGGAGGAAGAGCGACGGCGGGGCGGAAGTTCGTAGCGCGCGAGGCGCGGAAGTTGGGGTATTGATGTTTTTACCTACTGTTGATTTCCTGGGAAGAAATGTCTACATTAATAGTACACGTAGACTTTTATCGCTGTTGTCACCGCACAAAGATAGCAGAAAGCTAAGCACGCATACATACCTATACCATCTATCTACATACCTGCCCAGCACTAGTAGCTACTCTACCCATCCCACCCCTCCTGAAGCCCCTAATCACCTACCACAAACAAATCCACCCACTGTACAACACACCCGAACAAAACCAAACACAGCCCGAACCGCACCAAGCCAAACCGACAAGCCATTTGACATACACACCAGAAGAGCGGAGAGTGATACTACAACCATAAACAACAAGCCTTGGATCTTCTAATCCTCTTCCCACGAGTTCCACAACCACAACCACACAGACACACCACACGTCTGTGCCACAAGACCCCACGCATCCTTCATCTCACCCATCAACCCCAACCACAAGAGTAGTAAAGAATATAAAGAAGAAAAAGCGTGCATCAACGCACACAATACACACTCAAACCACAGCCCATAAACCAAAGAACAAGAAAAAACGCCTGTTCTAGATGCGAGCCAGCAAGCAGACATACAAACAGGAAACCGACCCGAACCACACCGCCATACATGGCTGGAAGATAGGGGGACAGCAACAGCTAGGACAGCGGCAGCGTCAGCATCAAAGGGTGGGTAAGGCAAGAGCAAGAACCTCTCTGACGCGCCGCCCCGCTTTCCGCGGAGCAGCTCTCTGCGCGGGGCGGAAAAGCCGATGCGCTGGCAGCAACAAGCCCATCCACCCCGCGCTTACTCCACCACTATACAGCAGTGAGAGCTTGGGTGAGCTCAATCGACGTCGTCGGCGTCGTCCGAGCGGCCCTCCTTGCCTTTCGCTGGCTTCGCCAGCTCCTTCTTCCACAGGCTGTTGGCGCGCTCGCGGTCCAAGTCCTTGAACACGACGTCGAACACGTCCGAGTACCAAGACACGGCCTTGCCTTCGATGCCGGCCTTGATGTTCTGCAGCACACGGTAGATGTCAGCAACCATACTATCATATAAAAAATAAAAAATAAAAAAAATAAAAAAATAAATAAAAAAAGAGGAAGAAAAGGGCAAACATACCTCCGGCAACTCCAACCAATCGCTCAAGTTATCGCTCGGGAAAATCACCATCTTGGCGCCCGCCCTCTTCGCCGCCACCGTCTTCTCCCTCAGTCCACCAATACGCAGCACCTTACCCGTAACCGTCAACTCGCCCGTCATGGCGATCGTCGGATCCAGCGGCCGATCCAGCGCCAGCGACAGCAGCGCCGTCGCCATCGTGATGCCCGCGCTCGGCCCGTCCTTCTGCACCGCGCCTTCAGGGCAGTGCAGGTGGATCTTGGCGTGCTCGAAGAAGCGGTTCTCCGGGAAGTCGCGCGCCATGACCGACTTGGCGAACGAATACGCGATGATGGTCGATTCCTTCATCACCGCTTGCAGGTTGCCCGTGCGCTCGAAGCCCGGCCGCGACGAGTGGTTCAGCGCCGCTTCGAGTATCGACTCGACGTACAGCGCCGCGCCGCCCATTTGCGTCCAGGCGAGACCCATGGCTACACCGGCGGGAGTCTGGTCGTAGAGGCGGTCGGCCGTGAAGACAGGTGGGCCGACGTAGTCCTTGAGGTTGTCCTTGGTGATGTTGACATGTACGCTGTCCGGCACCTTCAGGGCCACCCTGGGCTTCTCGGTCCTCTCCTGCTCAATATTCTCGGGCGTTTCCTTCACATCGGTGTTGTCCTTGTTGGCCTCTTCTTGCGCTGCCTTGCCCTCTTCCGTCAGAGCCTTGTCCTCCGACAAGACATCCTCACCAAGGTCCTGGATAATCTTGAGAGCGGATTTCCTGTAGACCTTCTCGATCTGCTTCTTCAGGTTGCGGACACCACTCTCGCGGCAGTACTTGTTGATGAGCTCAGCGATGGCTTCCTTCTCCAGCTGAACGTCGACTTCCTTCAAGCCGCTCAGCTCCTGGGCGGCAGGTGCGAGGTAACGCTCAGCGATAGCCATCTTCTCGTCAGCGACGTATCCAGAGAGTTCAATCATCTCCATACGGTCGAGCAGAGGGCGCGGGATGGTGTCGGTCATGTTAGCAGTGCAGACGAAAAGAACCTTGGACAGATCAACGGGCACATCCATGTAGTGATCCAGGAAGGAGTTGTTCTGCTCAGGGTCGAGCAGCTCCAGCAAGGCAGATGAAGGGTCACCCTGATGACCGCGACCGATCTTGTCGACCTCATCAATCAGAATGAGAGGGTTCTCCGTCTGGCACTTCTTGAGAGCCTGGATAATCCGTCCAGGAAGCGCACCAACGTACGTTCTTCTGTGACCCTTGATCTCCGCAACATCGGTAAGACCACCAACACTGAAACGGTAGTATTGCCTGTTCAGAGCCCTGGCGATCGACTTGCCGATACTAGTCTTACCGACACCGGGCGGGCCAACCATGCACAGAATCTTGCCCTCGACCGTTCCTCGCAGCTTGCCGACGGCGATAAATTCGAGAATGCGGTCCTTGACATCCTTCAATCCATGGTGATCCTCATCCAAAACCTTCATGGCGTTCTTGATGCCAAAGTTCTCAGCGCTCCTCTGGCCCCAGGGAATCTGAGTCAACCAGTCCAGGTAGTTCCGCGTGACATTAAACTCTGAAGCAGCAGGCTCAAGGTGCGCCAACTTGTTGACTTCTTCGTCGAAAACCTTTTTAACAGCCTCTGGCATAGCAAGCTTGGAGGCCTTCTCCTTGAACTTCTCAACGAGCTTCTCTTTTCCATCGGTCTCGAGACCCAACTCTCTACGGATACCACGCATTTGCTCCATCAACCAGTATTCCCGTTGCCTCTTTGTGATCTTCTTTTCAACATCTTTGAGAATCTTGTCTTGAAGCTGAGCGTTCATGTATTCCTTCTTCAATACAATCAAAGCTTTATGCAACCGATCCTCAATGTTCATTGCTGCTAGTGCTGCCTGAAGCTCGTGAGATTCGCCCTGGGCAACCGCAGCCGCGAAATCAGCCAGCTTGGCCGCATCGTCGCCTACGTTGCCAGCACCTTGGCTCATGGAGAAGGTAGAAATCTGATCGCGGAAAAGACTGTTGATGGCGGCAACCTCTTTGAAAGTGTTCACCATCTCGCCAACGAGAGCGCGGACGGTGGGGTTGTTCTTCTCGAAAGGTTCCTCGACAAGGTTATCCACATTTACCAAACTGACAGGGTATTTCTTCAAGAACGAAGTGGGCTCGTACTGGCCAATCTGCTTCGTCTGGTCCGAGACGCCTTCCTCAAAACTAGCCCCGACATCACCCTTCTTGTGTTGTGCGGGATCCTTTGTCGCCTGTTCAACTTCCGGTGTTTCGGCCGAAGTTTCAGTCCTGGTGAGCACCTCTCCTGCGGGACGGGTCGGCGGGATGAGCGAAGACATCTTGATCCGGCGGTGCGGGTACAAGACGGCGGTCATGCTAGGCTCATCGCCCTGCACAGGGAAAGCGCTAGTAATCTGGCAGAAGGTACCGACCTCATGCACGTCGTCGGGGCTCTCAATGACATCCTTGTCCGCATCGTCGTTTTTCAACAAGAACGCGCCAATGTATGGCTGTCCTCTCTGTACCATATCGTGTATCGCGGCCGCGACGGCCTGGTTCCTGATCGTGATGGCCTTGTAGAAGCCTGGGAAGAGGGGCCGCTTGCCAATTGGAATTGCCATGACCTGCGGGTAGACATCCGGCACCGAGGGCTTCTGCAGCGAGCGCTCGCTGGTCTTGCGCCTCTTGCCTCCGCCGCCGCTTTCGCCACCGGACGGAGGAGCTTCGCCACCGCTGCCGCCAGAGCCTCCCGAAGAGCCCTTGCCATCCGCGCCTTTGTTGGAGGGAATGGGCTCCGGGTCCTTTGCCTTCGCATTCGCTCCGGTCTCCGGCTCCTCCGGTTGTTCCTTTTTCTTCTTCTTATCCTTGTCCTCTCCTTCGCTCTTCTTCAAGCTAAGTTCCTCGTCCGGTGCCGCGCTTGGGGGCTTTTCCTTCCTCCGCGCCGGAGTGGTGGAGAAGTGGCGGGAGGTGGATAGCGAGGACGCAGTCGCGCGATGCTTCGACGACGAAGGCGGGCATCGTGCGAGAGAACCGTGATAGGATCGGCTAGCAGCCCCAAGGATAAGTGAAGATGACCTGTTGAGATTACCGTGCTGGCGCGACGCCTGCCGCAAAGCTGCCCGCCATGGCAGATTCTGGCCGTAGAGCATGGCGAGGCGGGGTTACAGAGATTGGGAAAGATGCGCGCGATGCGACAAGGAGAAATATAGGAGTAGTGCAACAGGACCAGATATCGGTCGAGTCGCGAGATGTGGAAGATGAAGATACTAAGGGGCGGCGGCAAAGGCGGGCGATTATCTGAGAAGCTGTTCGAAGCTCCGGTCGATGCGTGTCGATGACGCGCCGAGAGCTGCCGGGTTTTAGCCGGCAGCGAACCGCGTTTCGCCATCCATCAGATTAGATCTGATTTGACCGCCACCTGGCTATCGCCATCGCTCACCTATCTGAATCTGAGTTTTACGTAGTACAAAGGGCTATCGTCTAATTCTCTTCTCTTTGAAGACGTATCTACACTGAATGGACTGTCTACCCACCAGCTATCATTTGGTGGCAATCTCACATGAGTAATCGTTCTACTCCGCTCCGACATCGCCCCATAGGTTCATCTAGAAGTTCAATCGGTGATAGTACTTGGGCTTGGTAAGCAAACTCCGAAGTCTATCTGGTCAATGCCGTTGCCCTAGCTTTGCACCACAGATAGGAAGATTAAAATTATCTCGTGAAGGCTAAGCCGCTGTACTTAGTACGTCGCCCAGGTTTTTTCAGAAGCGTTAATTGCTATTCGAATAATACTAGATACAAGCTTGCTTAGCATAAAGCCGCACCAACCTATCAACCTGCGCAGCGTAGCGAGATATAGCTAAAGTAGCACACTGCATTAGACGCGCCATAGACCCGAGAGCCACCATACTTTGTAAGCCCTTTTGTCTTGATGCAGAAATTCATTAAAACAATCAGCTATACCTTTCCGAGCAGAAACATAGACCGAGCGAAACAATTCCTAGAGGTTGCGGTTTAACCAGGGATATCTTGGTAACCCAGCATTGTTCCTAACTTGGCTTCAATGTTTTGAGAAGAGCTATACCGGGAACTTTGACGGTCCCAGCTCGATCCATGAGACGGCTTGTCTGGATCAATCCACTGAAGATATTGCTCCGTGAGTAATCCAAGAAGGACAATGGGTCCAGTGACTTCCGTAGAGGGCTTCATTTTACTCGTATCAAGTAGATCCCTGTTGCGCATTAGTATGTTGGACAGTCTATCTTACTTTCGACTAGCTCACGAAGCAAATTTTTGACTTACCATAAAACTGCTTTGTTCGTAGGTTCCCAAAAATTAATGTCAAGTGTCTCGAGGAGCGGAAATTTTGTGTCAATCGTGTTTGAAAGTGCCATAAGAAACGGAACGAGAAACAGTACGTAATCGCCAGGGTGGTTAGTATGAGTGTCTCGAGTGATGGCGGGAAAGGAATCACAGTACGGGTCCAGTCCAAGTTCCCGTTGCTTTCCGAATACGATCCCACCAAAAATAAGCTCGATATTTCGAGATGCTTCAGTTTTACAAAATCTGTAAACCCTATTGGCTCCACTTCTCCCCTCTCAGGGTCTTCATTCCAGGCCCAGCAATCACGGAAGTCGAGTACAAGCGTCTCTAGTGTCTCTTTCTGACACTGCAGGGAACTGAGCAGAAGACTGGTTTCGATGGAATTGGCTCCGAGTTCTCCAGAATTACCGGTACGATACTCGAAAGACCTTAGTGTAGAACAGGCCTGAAGAATAAAATGAAGGTGGTCATTCCAAAGTTCAGAGTGTCGAGTAGAGATGGTATCCAGCTTGGAGACCTTTTGTGAAGCTGGGCGCGAGGAATTGGACGCCGCTTGTCCTTCTAGATTACTGCTACCTACGGAGGTATATATGCTGCTATCTAAAAGAATACGTTTCTTGTTGAGATCCTTAATTCCTTGCAGTAGAAGAACGTGTGGTGTAAGGGAGTCAGTTTATTGTGTAACAACTAACCGTAGGGTTGAAGCTGTGCGTTGTTAGAGTGATACTGGCTGACACCTTTATAGGCCATTTTTGATGGTGGAACCGTCCTGAGGCACCAGCCATAAAGTTGCCGCCTGAACACGCCTGCAAGAGATCCATGCTTCGGAGAGACGGCAGACGAAAAAAGCCCCCAAGGAATGCGGGATGAAACCCCTGTTCGCGTCCTAACCAATCACCATTAATGACTGAGATGTGGGCGAGTTTAGACAAGATATTCTCGGAGGGATTCTGAGAAGCATATTCCGCTACCAATGGAATGAACTCAATGCAGGGATCCGGGTCAACATAACAGTATGGGGGTATAATGGTGAGGACTTTCAGGTTCGACAGCAAGACCAGTAGGAGAGCCAACTCGCTCTCGCTGTCGCCCTCCCGCAGGTACTTTATCCATCTTTCAGTGCCAGAAACTTTAATAAGCCTCACTATTTTGTTGAAGGCATCTGAGTTGTATCTATCGGGCTTAGCTTTGTCTCCGCAAAGTTCGTTGAATGCGTTGAAGAAAGCATGTTCGACACGTTTTGCTAAATCAGGCTTTTCGAGTATTGTCCGTAAAAAAAGTCTTCTCGAGTATGAGTCAATCCTCCCCGTACTGAATGTGCAGTATAGAAAGGGATCAACGATTTGGTGAAATATTCTCGAAACGAGGGAAAGAGCGCATAATGTTCTGGCTTGACTACGGACACTGGCTGTCCAGTCATTGAATACTTCTTTTGTGGAAAGATCGGCAACACCCCGCGAATCGAAGTAGCGACAGATTTCTGCGAGAATTTCGTTGGGAAGAGACTCGATAGTGAGCGAAGCATCCCGTGCCAAAGCTTGACGAGATAACATCGTCATACTGCCATCGGGAAGGTGTCCAAGCTCGTCAGCGGTACCTGGGGAGCCATGAGAGGACTCTTTTATGTCCGGTAAGTCACCAGGTGGGGCCTCAATCCGCTCCGATCCCAGATCGGGGCCCGGTGTGGCCATGGTGGGACAGAGTGAGGCTGAGGAGACAGGCGGTAGTGAAAGTTGGGCGTTGATTTTCAGTTGCGGGGAACGATGAGCTTCAAATGGACGTTGGTATGTGCGGCGAGTGTGAGGGCCGAGTCCGCCAGTGGACCAGCTGAAATTGTCAGTGGACGCGTCACAAACGTCTGCCGAGTGTCAACCATACCTGAGAATGAAGCCGCCTGATACCAGGCGCCGCAGTGTAATCTGGACAAAAAGGAGCCGGTGACAGCACCGTGCCGGCGCCTGAGAAGGTTGACGAAGTCCTCGGTCCAGAGGTTGAGGTGTGATGCAGACGGGATGGTGGAGGTCGGGGAGTGGACAGACGAAGGATTACAGCGAGACGCGTCGAGAGAAGAGGCAGGCGTGCTCAAGTGTGCGCCAGTGGTGTCGCGTCTCGTGCCTGCCTACTACGGCCGGACCTCCACCCCAGTGCTGCCTACCTACATCCAATCTAACATCCAACTAACTCAGTCAACTACAGAACCTCACACCGATCCGCTCAATGGCGCAACTGCTACAAGGACCCCTGCCTAACCATCTCACAGATCCGTCCAAAATAGTCTCTGCACTCCACCTCATCCATTTCCCACTTCCGCGTATCTTCCAAAGGAACATCCACCCATCCACGATCCTGCGAAGACACCACCTCGTTAAACTCGCGCAGCAACTCAATATATGAGAAACCGCCCTCAGGGGGTCTAGGGAGCGGAAATTCAATTTCCAACGGAGGCATGGCGCACTTTACGCCAGCACCAGCGAGCAAGTATCTCAGGCCAGCCCTCAGCCTGATAATCTTGTCCCGACGCTCTTTGGACGCGAAGACGAATTCAGGCTCAGGGAACTCGTGTTCGAGCTGCAAGAACCGGAAACTCCGCAGGTCGGCATAGCAATTGTGGGTGAAGAAGTCGAAGAATTGGATGTACTTGTTCCAGTCATTCCTTTTCTCTATCATGCGTAGCGCCTCCAGTGAAGGGGGGAATATGTCGGCAAGGTCTCCGGTGCCCTTCCCTCGACGCCACATTCCTCGCTGCTCCGATGCTAAGTCTGCGAGCAAGCACTCGGAGATCTCAATGCATTTGAGACTCTCGAAGTCTTTGAATGAGCTTTGCAAGAAGCCGATGAACACCTTCTCGTCCACTCCAAAGACGTCTGCACCCTGCGGGTCCAGTCTGAGATGCACAAGCGAGGATTTATGAAGACGCAGACCTTTTCTCAGGCCATCTGTCCAATCGAGTTCAGTGTTTACTTTAATGAGATTGATCTTGGCCCAGCTCCTTTGCTCAGCAACCCAACCCCACTTGTAAGCAAACGACTTTAGTGCCTTGCACTCTCGCACAGCTCTTCCAACAAACTGAGGAACAAGACCTGATTCTTCGAACGCCAGAATCTCGACGTTGGAGTCCCTCTCGCGCCAGCCCTTTCGAAGCGGCACTTCGTCGTAGCTCGTCTGATGGCATTTGATACGCACCTCACGCAGTGACGGCAATGCCATCATCCGCAGGAAGGCATCTGCGCCAAAGCCCTTCCATTTATGCTCCTTCGTATGGATAATAAGACACTCCAGCCTCGCCAACGGCGCCAGAGCATCTCCACCGCGCGACCACTGCCGCAGACACGTCGTCTGCCAGAGCTTCAGCAGCCAGGGATACGCCCACAACCCCCGACTCCCCATATCTAGCCGCAAGACCCGTTAATTGGGCGCCAGCGCCACTAAAAGCGCTAAATCGGCGTCGTCGCCCCCCTTCCGCAACGCGCGCAGCCATGCCCGTCTCTTCCTCCCATCCTCCTCCTCCTCCCCACCAACAATCTCGTCCGCCAGCTCCTCCGCCGCAAGCACCGCCCCCGCGCACTGCCGCACCCCGCCCACGGGCCCCGCGTCCACCTCCGTCACCCACGTCGCCCGCTCCGGCCAGCGCACCAGCTCCGAGACGAAGCGCTCGCGCGCGCGCGCCTCGCGGTAGCGCCGAGCGTCGTCGTCGTCGGCGGCGTTGTTGACGTTGTCGTTGCTCCGCGCCGAGAAGACAGAGCACGCGAGCGGCGCAGCGAGCGCAGCAAACCGCCTCGAGACGAGGCGCAAGCGGGTGCAGAAGCGGAGGTGGGTGCGCGTGGCATTGGCGCCGGCGCTGTCATCGCCGTGGCCGTGGTGGTCGCGGAGGAGGACGCCGTCGCCTGTTGGGACGAGGTGGCTGAAGATGGCGAGCAGGATGTGCGCCGGGAGCGCGTTCAGGTGCGGCCTAGTGTAGTTGTAGTTGTGCGTCGTTGTCGACGCGTCTGCGTCTGCGTCTGCGTCTGAGCCGTCACGGGCGGGACCACCACCGCGCCGTCGATGCCGCTGCCTCAGCCTTTCCTTTTCCCGTCTCCGTGCCATTCCAGCTTCCGCTTCGTCATTGTCGCTGCTGCTGCGTTCCAGCGTAGACTTCCGCGCCGACGACGACGACGACGGCGCGACAGCCGCGCGCACAACCATCGCGATGGCGCATGCGACGACGGCGGTCGCGACGATGGCGCTCGCTGTGTGCGAATGCCATTCACTGGCGGCGTGGGCGCTCATCTTGTTGGCGTTGGCTGGAAGACGCGGCGCGGTGGGTAGGAGTAGGAGTATCAAGAGGAGGAGGATAGATACTTGAGACGGGACGCGTGAGGTTATTGGATAGGTGGTGTGGTTTGGATGGTGGTCGCGAAGACGCCGATTCTCTGCCAAGGTGCCGCGGATTGGTACGAAAGGACGACGACGATGCTGGACAAACACAACAAAGAAGAAAGAGGTAACGTAGTAGATTCAAATTCCGTACACGCATTGATATTTAGATAAAGGACGCCGCTATGCTAAACCGACAACAACACAACGCAAACGACTAGGGCAGCCAAAAGGCCGGTTTAGATTCCTTTCCTGCACGCATATCCCCGTTCTCTTATTCATACTTACAACTTCGGCTTGCTCACGATGCTCGCGCTGCCCTTGTTTATCCACTGCACGGCATCGCCGACCATCTCGTCGACAATGGCCTTGGCCGACTTGCGCTCGTTGACCACGGCCGCGGCCTTGCCCATGAGGAAAGGGCGCGCGTTGTCCATGGTCTCGTCGTCGAGGTCGTCGCCCAGCTTCTCCAGGTCGTGCTCGACGGGGATGACGCCCTTGGCCGTCAGGTCCTTGATCTCGTTCTGGCGGTTCGTCTCCCAGTCGTTGATGTAGGGGTTGTTGCGGACGCGCAGCGGGCGGCCGGTGAAGATGATGGTGCGGACGTTGTCGTCGAAGCCGGCGGTGCGCACGGCGTCCTGGTGCGCCTTGGGCGCGCCCGCCTCCTCCGACAGCACGAAGCGCGTGCCGACCCAGACGGCGCTGGCGCCGAGCATGAGCGCCGACGCGACCGTCTGCCCGTTGAAGATGCCGCCGGCCGCAATGACCTGCACAGGCTTGCCCGTCATGGGGCTCGTCTTGCCCGCGCACAGCTTGGCCACCGTCGGGATCAGGATCGTCGTGGGCACGTCGCCCGTGTGGCCGCCGCCCTCGCCGCCCTGCGCGCAGATGAGGTCCACGCCCAGGTCCAGGCACTTTTGCACGTGCTTGGGGTGTCCGATCATGTTCATGTACAGGATCCCGGCTTTGTGGAGGCGCTCGACGACGTGCTTGGGCGGCACGCCCACGGCGCTGACGAACAGCTTCGCGCCGCTGTCGATGATGATGGTGACGAGCTCGTCGAGCTTTCCCTTCGTATAGTCGTAGCTACAAAAAACGTCCCACGTCAGCTGATGCTCACCACACGCCTGCTCGTTTGTGCAAATACGACCGTAGGAGCAGCGACTCACTTGGTCTTGCGCGCGCTGCCGCCGACCTGCGGCAGCAGCAGATCGACGCCAAAGGGCGCCTTCTTGTCCTGCAGGTAGCTCTTGAGCTCGGCAATCTGCTCGCGCAGCATGTCCGGGGTGTAGCCCACGCCGCCGATGACGCCCAGGCCGCCGGCGTTGGTGACGGCGGCGGCAAGCTTGGGGCCCGCGGCGACGTTCATGCCGGCGAGGAGGACCGGGTGGTTAATGCCGAGGAGGTCGGTCGTCGTGGTACGGAGCTGCTCTGTGGGCGGGCGAATAATGGGTTAGCGGGGGGCGTGCGGGCATGTGAATGTGGCGATGGTGACGTACGAGGAGAGGCCATGGTTGCGGTTGCGGTTGCGGTGGTGGTGGTGTCGTGAGAGGGATGGTCGTGAACGTGTCGAGGGAATAGGAGGAGGACGGCAGGGGTTAAAAAGTCGTGGGCAGCGCAAACTGGGGTGAGATGCGAGAGGCCTCGGCCGTACAAGGCGGAGAAGCTGCCCGTCGGCGCTCGTGAGCCGAGGCATCGCACCACAAAGGAAGGAACCGCCCACACGTGCCATCTTCCCCGGATTCGATGGGAGATGGATTAGATTCGATAGATTCGATAGATTCGATAGATTAGATTAGATGCTTTTGGTCCCGTCTTACTCATCAAAATCTCTGCCTTTCCCAATCCGCCACCACCATCCCATGCCGCCACCCGATATGCTGACACTCCTTCGCTGTTCCTCTCTTTTGCGCGCTTCCACCTTCCTATCATGTCCTGCGTCTCGGCGTGTCAGCTTCCGCTCCTCAGCTAGCACCTTGTCCCTCTCACGCCTCTCATCATCATTATCACCACCACCACCGTCCGTGCAAAAACGGCCCGCCCCCATGCGCACGCAAAACGGCAGCGTCAACGGGACTTCTCCCCGCCGCTATGTGTCCAATGGCACCGCCGCTACTCTAGTCTCCAACGGCTCGCGGCCTCACCGCGCCTTTGTCGCCCTAGGCAGCAATCTCGGCGACCGTCTGGAATGGATCGAGCGCGCGTGCCGTGCCCTCGAGGCTCAGGACGACGTCCGCATCCTGCGCACTAGCGGCCTCTGGGAGACCAAGGCCATGTACTACGAGGCCCAGGACCACTTCATCAATGGCGCTTGCGAGGTGAGGAGACCTTTTGCTTGCCTCTCGTCATGCCGTAAATTTCTTATGCTTCTTTTTCCCTGTTCGTCTGCTGGTATACTTTGCGTTCCTGTCCTGGCAATTGGTTATCTCGTTCTTGTGTCCCGTGTTTGTACTCCATGGCTTTGCCAGCACTCAATGGATGATTGCCTTTGTATCCGCGTCCCTGACAGTGACATGAACTCGTGCAGATCGAGACGTCGTTGGACCCGATGCAGCTTCTGGACCGGCTGCAGAGCATAGAGAACGAGCTCGGCCGGGTCAAGATCATCGACAAGGGCCCGCGCAACATCGACCTGGACATTCTGCTCTACGACGCCCAAGTCATTGAGAACGAGCGTCTCATCGTCCCGCACAAGCTGATGCTCGAGCGCGAGTTTGTCCTCCGCCCGCTTTGCGAGTAAGGACGACTTCCTGGAAATGCCCTTTTCGTCACTGACACGGCCAGCCTGATCCCCGACGCCGAGTTGCCCACCGTCGCCGGCACTCTGGCGCAACACCTCGCGCGCGTGAAGCCGGCCGACCCGCCCCTATCGACCATGACGCCGCTGGCGCCGGGCCTGGCGCCCCTGTCCGCCCTGCAGAGCAACCGCCGCACGCACGTCATGTCTATCCTGAACGTGACGCCGGACTCGTTCTCAGACGGTGGGCTCCACGTCCCCGCGGCGCTGGACCCCAACTCCCCAGAAGCGCTCGCCCTCCTCGCCGACACCATCCGCGCGCACATCGCCGCCGGCGCCACCATCCTCGACATCGGCGGCCAGTCGACCCGCCCCGGCGCCCCGCAAGTCAGCCCCCAAGAAGAGCTCGCCCGCATCCTGCCCGCGCTGCGCCTGCTGCGCACGATGCCCGAAGCCCGCAACGTCGCCATAAGCATCGACACGTACCGCGCGAGCGTCGCCGCCGCCGCCATCCCCGCCGGCGCCCACATCATCAACGACGTCTCCGCCGGCCTGCTCGACCCGGACCTCCTCCCCACCGTCGCCCGCCTCGGCTGCTCCGTCTGCCTCATGCACATGCGCGGCACGCCGGCCACGATGACGCAGCTAACAGACTACCCCGCGGGCGTCCTCGCAGGCGTGGAAGCCGAACTCGCCCTACGCCTGCGCGCCGCCGAGCAAGCCGGCATCCGCCGCTGGCGCATCATCCTGGACCCAGGGATCGGGTTCGCAAAAACGCAGCAGCAGAACCTGGAACTCTTGCGCCGGCTGCCGGAGCTGCGGCAAGCGACGCCGTTCAGCGGCTTGCCGTGGCTGGTCGGCAGTAGTCGGAAGGGCTTTATTGGTCAGGTTACTGGCGTCAAGGAACCCAGGGAGAGGGTCATGGGGACGGGGGTGACGGTTGCGGCGGCGGTGATGGGCGGGGCTGATGTCGTTAGGGTGCATGATGTGCGGCCGATGGTGGAGGCGGTGAGGATGGCCGAGGCGGTTTGGCGCGTGTGATGGGGGAGGGGGGGTGGGGGAAAGAAGGAAGAGGAGGGGGGAAGGGGGAAGAGTAGAGTATAGACATAGAGACACGTCCCGCAACATTGTAATGTCCTGCTTGAGAGAGAAAAGTTTAAGTTTAACCTATTAGTTTTAGGGTTTAGAATAGAAAGGGAGACTTCAACGTCTAGGTATAGGTATATAAGACTAAACTTATCAAATAACGAAACACTCTTTTATATACCTTTATATATATACTCTAACGCTACCCCACCTAACTAAGCCCAGCCACTACTGTTACTATAACTATCTAAAAATTAATAACCCTTTAGACCGTAGGCGTATATATACTATATATATATATATATAGCTACCCTAACTCCTCTCTTTCCCTTCCTTCCCTTATATAGTAACTATACCTAACTATACCTCTAACCTCGTACTCCGAAACGCGTACCAATAGCGTAGGCGTAGGTATAGGCGTACGTAGATAGGGTTTTATAGGTAGGTAGTATACTAGTACTTAGGTACTGCTAGGGCTTTGGGAGGAGGGGGGGAAAGAGAAAAGGCGTAGGTAGTAGTAATAGTATTAGTAGGGATTTTTTTCTTTTTTTTTAATATATATATATATATATATATATATATATATATATATATATATATATATATATATATATATTTATAAATATATACGTAGATATGACCACCTACTAAAGAAAGAAAAAAAAAAAAAAAAAAACACTATTAGAACCTTGTAACTATTCGTGTATAAAACCGAATCCTGTTAATGATAATAAGGTAGTAACGATTGATAAAGCTATACTCTCTATACCGCACCACCCTCTCCTCTCCTCTCCTCCTTCTCCTCTTCTACTCTTCCCCGACCCACCACCCATCTACCATCAACCCCACCCTCCCTAAACGCCATAAACCTTGAGCGAATTAACCAACCAATACGCGTCGGCAAACGCGCCGGGGTCATTCGCGACATAGTCGACGCAAGATGCCCTGCCCGTAACGCCCGCGCACCCCCCACTGGCCCACACGGCCCCCGCCCACTGCCCGCAGAACGTCGTGTCGAAGACCTAGGTGTGCAGCACCCATTATCAGCAAGTGTGTTCACAATTCACAACACAACCCCAATCCCCAATCCCGCAATTAAGAAGAAAGCCAGAGAGACAGAGATGCGAGCACTCACGACGCTGTTCCCACTAATGTAGTCATCAAAGCTGCACCCATTGCAGTGAAAATGCGCCATCGGGGTCCCCCACCCCAGGGGCACCGGGCTGCCCTGTCTGATATCGTTTGGCACGGCCGAAGCCGGCCAGTACCAGTGCTGGATACTGCCTGCGTTCCAGAAGGAGGCGTAGACGCCGCCGCCGGCCGCGTTGAACGCGCTGCCAATTGTGTTGGCCGTGGTGCTTGTGGTGCTGCAGCCTGGGGCGAGGAACGTGTTTAGTCATGACGAGACGAGACAGAAGAGGCGGCGGGGGTGGTGAGGAGGAGCGGGAGGGTTTTTGGGGAGTAGAAGGGGGGGAGGTTGGGGTTGGGGTTAAAGCACACGCACCGTCGTACGCGCTGTTGGCATTACAGTTCGTCTGCACCAGCGTCCCCGTCTGCCCGCCCTCGCCGACATCGACGTTGCACCCCGCCCGCGTGTGCAGCGTCATCTGGTTCCGGGCCTGCTGGTTCACACCCTCGATGATGTCGATCTCGCCGTTATTGGGCCAGTTGGGGCCGACGAGCCAGCTGCGCCGCCCCGTTATTGCGTCAGTATGCCTCTGCTACTCACCTACCTATACAGGTATGTTTTATATTTGAGGGATAGGGAGGGGGCACTCACTATGCGGGCCACGTGCCGCAGATGCTGCCTGCAGCCTGTTAGCGTCAACCACAGTGGGACTTGCTGTTTCGTACGTACCAGGCATGTGCGCCAAGTCCAGAATAAACAACCCATGCTTAAACGCCGCTTTGCTCTGAATACGCACGCTGGGCCGCCCCGGGCCGGCCGTGTTCATCGTGTTCGTGTGGTCCACGCCCATGTACACCTGCCCGTTCTGGATCCTATACAGCCCTCGCGCCTGCGCGTCCGCCTGCGAGAGGTAGTTTACGAAGCCGCCCGTTGGGTCCCTTGTCTGTATGCGGCGTGAGTGGGGGAGTAGGATGAGATGAAAGACTTGAAGGTCCACACACCCCAAGTGCCTGCACAGCAAAAACGTCAAACCAGTTCGACGCATCATACGTCGCCGTAAGGCTGTATGCCTGCGCCGCCAGTGGCGTCTGCACGTCGAGCAGAATCGTGTGCTCGGTCCCGCCCGAAGAAGCTTCCCCGTCTGCCCCGACAAACGGCGCGTAGCCCGCTGTCGTGTTGTCGTACGCGGATGCCACTCCGGCAGCAGCAGCCAGAAGGGCCGGGACAAGGGATCGCGCGCGCGGCATGTGTGCGGGAGCGCGTGGGTACCGTGAAAGCGGGTCGAGTTGTAGATGGCTGGGTACTTCCTCGCAAGTGCCGGCAGTCTCAGCAGGACGGCCAGGGAATGCAAAATACGTCTCGTGTAAAAGAACCACCCAGGTAAATAAAACCCGTAGCCAGTCTGTCAGTCTGCACAGATGCGCAGCACCTGCCTCCGCGCTTTATACCGGTCCCAGCGGCGCGCCCAAGAGGACGCGGAGAGACATTGCCAGCGCTTTCAGGCGCCGCGGCGACACCTCCTCCGCCTTTGCCCCAGCCTGTCCCAGTCGCCATGTCAGGGACTCCAGGGCTTCCACGCCATGTGCGACGTGGATTCTGGCGTCTCGATTGAACGTCGTCACAGTGACAGCGTCAGAGCCTCATAGGGCTGGTGCGACGGCGCGTGGGAGGGTCGTGGTGTCTCAAGTAGGCGGTGTGCCGTGCCTAGGTGCTGGGTGCCGGATGGTCATGTTGTTGTTAGTATCCTGGATGCTGGGTCGCGTGTTTGATGCGGCAGACAGTGTGGGGTGCGGGGTGGGCTGTCACATTGGGAGACATGGCGGGTCTGGAAGGGGCGGCGGTGAGGAGTTTGATTAGGCGTCTTGAATTTGATGTGATGGAAAGCTGGCCAGTACTTGGCGACAGGACCTTGTGGATGAGTTTTTCACGGAGAGTACTGCCTGCATCATTTGCCTTGCGCCTTTGGCACTGCCAAGGAGATGAGATGACATTTGCGATGATTGTGATAAGTCGAAAGACGAGACCTCAGTTGATGGGTGGGAAAAAGTATTTTGTATACGTAGAGATCGATCATTGGAGTCAAGGAAAAAGGCGGTAAAATGAAAAAAAGGAAAACAGAGAGACAAGGCGGCGACGGCGTGCCCGAATGAGACTGGCTGCTTCAATAAAGCAAGCATAAGCAGAAAATGTCTTGAGCGTGACTGAAGAAAAGCGCACGTGAATTGGGACGTGAAAAACAGAGAGCAGCGATCGACCTGGCATTAGCCGGAGAGAAAAGGATTCCCTCTGGCCTATAACATGGGTCAGGGCAGATGCGGGATGATGTTGGCATGTGACGAGTGAGACGGTGGTTGTTGGGACCGGTTAGTCTTGGAAGGTCGCTGGAAACGAATCTGAGTGGCCGTCGGGAAATTGCGCGCCGGCCCGCGTGAGAAGCCACATACATAAGCCGTAACCTAGAGCTTGTTTGATGCCACCTTCTATTTTGGAGAAGGCGCAGCAACGCCGACCGCCAACCCGGGAGGATGTTCGCGCTGCTGCTGTGTGAGCCTGATATGCCGTGCTTCGCCAGCAGAGAGATGCGGCGCAGGGGAAAAGGATGAATGGAGAAGGGCGTGATGGTGTGAATGACGAGATGCGGGGAAGCGGTGGTGTTGAGTCTCGGACGAGGTGGCGGGCCGACGATGACGGCCTGAGCCAACCTCTCTGGTATCACAAGGCAAGCAGACCTGCCAGCCTGACCCAACTTCAGCCTCGCACGTAAAACTGCCATCTCCCTGACGCCCTCGTATACACGTCCCGTCCTCATGCGGTTGGTCGCTCCCTTCTACAACAGACCCTGATACAGCAGCTCACCTGCCGCAGCCTCTCGCTTTCCTCGCCCGAAAACGCCACCTGCCTCGTTAGCAGCTCGACGTGCAGCGCGCGCGTCGTCATCACCAATTCTCTCAGTTTTGCAACGTCCGCTTCTCGCTTCGCACCGGAATCGCATTGCCGTATGCGCATGTCGCAGACGCCTCGCCGTCACGATGCGCACATTCTTATCCGTACCCACCTACCGTTGCTCTCGCATCACCTATCGGCTCCGGACAGCGGGTCCGATGACTCCAACATCCCAAGGACCATCTCCTCGGTCCAAAGGCTTGGTTGTTTCCTGGCGCGATCGAGAGGAAAAGTAGAATCCCGCGGTGCCGATGGGGAGCTTCCTGCGCATGAGACGTCGATGTGCATCTGGAATCGTCCGGAGTCCGTCGGGGACGGCTGACACGCCATATGCAGGTCGACGTGATGCTGGCGATGGCCGAGGAAGATGGCTGGCTGAGCTGAACGGAAAAAGAGGCATCTCGGGCATGGTAGTGTTGGAGTTTTCCAGCACTAATGAGTCTCGATCGCTCGCGTCGGGCTGGATTTTGTTCTTCTGACGACAAGAGTGGAATCCTTGTGCGTCATCCTCGGAGGAAGAGGTTGTTATGGAGTCGCGGCGATTCTCGTCGAGAGGCATTTTCCGCAAGGGCGTCGTCCGGCTGCTTATGACGCAGCGAAGTGGGCATCCTCCGCAAAATGTGGCGATCTCGACGCTTTTCCTTCAGGTGCATCCGAAGTCTGGCCTGGGGGTCATCTGGGTGAAACGCCGTTGGCGGGGTGCAATTGGCCCGGCGCGCCGTTTCTGGGCTTCCCGAGCGACGTAAGCGTGCATGCGGAGCCGGAACGGTGTGCGCAGCTACTCGGACGCCGTCTTTTGGTGGCGAGGAACTTTTCGTGAGGACAGAAGGCCAAGCGGCGTAGTCGGGCGTCTCAGGGTCGCGGGCACCATCAGTGGTAGAATGGGAGGGGGGAAAGCCGGCGAGGGGAAGTGTGGGCGGCGGGGCGGGAGGGCCCTCGATCCAGGCACCAGGCACAGACACCAAAAGGCACAGACACGCTGGCTCTCACTGCTCAGCACGCTCAGGCACAAGGCACACTCAGGCACACGCAGGCACCAGGCACCACACGGCACCGCGCAGCTGCACAGGCCAGGCAATGGAAGGCCCAAGGAATGGAAGCGCCGACGCATGGCCGGGGGAACAAAGGCATGCTTCTTGTGCAGCGCACCTCCCACGTGGCGCACGCTGCTGCAGAACCATGGTATGGCCGCGACTTGGCAACGGCAATCTCGACCACAGTTTTTTCGTCTTTTTTTTTTTCTTTTCTGTTGGACAGAGTTTTCCGGGGCGCGACGGGGGAGTACGGGGAGCACGGGGAGCACGGAGACGCCGGCCCATTTTGGCGCGTCACGTGCAGGCGCTAAGTGTGGAGCCGGTGTCACGTGAGCGGGCGGTACCTGACTATCGCGATTCGCGCACCCAATGGGCTGGGCGGCTGCTCCTTCCGCTTGCGCCGATGCAGCCCGCCAGCCTTGCCGGCCATTCTGGAAGGGAGACGACGCCAGCCGCGCGCCGTGAAGAAGCGCGCGCCCTCACTCTCCTCAACTGCACCCTGCGGCATCCTGCCCGCCCGGCTCTCGTGTCATGTCTCGCCGTCTGCCATCTGTCAGCTGCGGTGTGCCAACCTGCAGCCCTCAGGCAGCGGCACCAGCATGGGCACCAGCAGCAGCAGCGGCAGCAGTCAGCCCCCAGCTGCCACCTCTCAGGCCGCCGTGCAACAACACATACTTACTACAATAGGTGCCTGAACATCATCTGGCGATGTGCAGCGCCGTCGGATCAGCCAGCATCTCCTGCCGCCGCTAGGGCGACCCGCCAGCCACTTCGGTCGGTCGAACCCATTCGATGCGCTAACATTGGCCGCCGCTGAGCCCTTGCCATCTACCCACCACGCCTCCTTTTCCTCCCATTCGCTGCGCATCCTCGTCGCGCCGCGTGTTTGCCCACTTCGCAGCCGGCTTGAGGGATTCGTCATCTCCATCCACTGAGTCCAGGCCGCCGCCATGGTCCCTCCCGCTGTTCACCTTGCCTCTCCTTAATTAGCCGCTCGCATCTCTGGTTGTTATTTCTAGCACCCTCCTCCCCCGTCTTCAGCTGCTTTGTCTTGTCGCCCAAGGGTAGTCGCATCATTCTTTTAAGCGTATTACCTTGCCGTGTTTGCAGTCTCTCTCTCTAAACTACAGACCTCGGTCCTACTCTCTCTTTAAAAGACAACTCAAGACAACACACTTGCTTTCGCAAACCCCTTCAATCTCCAGCCAATCAATCAAGATGCGTTTCTCTTCCATCGCTCTCGCTGCCGTTGCCGCCGGCACTGCCTTTGCTGGCAACCACAACCACGCTCGTCTCCACAAGACGCACAAGCCCCGTGCTTCTACTCCGTAAGTCCTATGCCCCACATGTCATATATCAAACAAAGCAAATTCTAACATATAACCCAGTGCTGAGGTCGAGAAGCGCGGTCTGATCCTTGACGCCATTCACGAGGCCGAGATCATCACCCTTGGTCTGATCTCCGCCGGCATCAACTCCCTCGACGGCACCGACGCCGACGTATGGGTTGGTGACAACGGCCAGTACACCAACGACTTCATCAACCAGGGTGACGACGACGTCGTCGTTGTCATCTGGGGCCCTGCTGCCTCCTGGGTCAACGTCGATGCTCCCCTCGTCACGGCCACGGTCAAGGCGGGCTCCAACACGACCGTCTCCTTCAAGGACGGTGCCAGCGGCGCCTGGGCCGTCATCTACAAGGACACGGAGCTCGTCAACGGCCAGATCTCGGAGACGTGGGGTGAGTACACGTTTGGCGAGTGGGGTGTCGTTGACGTCTCTCGCGAGGTCAACATGAACGGCCACAGCATGGCCATCCACGGCCCCAAGTGCATCTCGGACATGGACACGTGCGTGTTCAAGTGCAAGGGCGACGCCGCCAACTGCTGGCAGGAGTACGAGCTCGTCAACTGCGAGAACGGCTCCCAGGAAGGCGCCACCAACGGCCTGTCGTACGGCGCGCCGTCGGGTGGCTGCGGTGGCATGGGCAGCAGCGCCGCGCTCAAGACTTACATCAACTAAGCAACGAACAACGGGGTTTGAGGGCAAACGGAAATAGACGCACTGGGGGTGGGGGAAAGATAGAAGCTTTTGACGGATACGCCTCTTCTTGTTTTATATTTGATGGATATACCAGAGCCTTTTCTTTCAGGAGGGGGCTGCTGCTTGTCGCGATAGATAATCGACTCCGATCACGCACGCGTGTGTGGGTCGGCTGTCTGCTATATACCCTTTTCTTCGAAATACATATATATATACAACAATGACGATATTACTGCTACTGCTACTGCTACTACTTATTTTTTGTATTTATGTACGTACGGATTGTGTATAGAGTGGAACGATGATGGGGCGCGCCTGCTTTGCTATCTCTCTCTCGGTCCCTATCGTTCAGATCTTGAGAATCTGAGTCTGAGTTTGAGTTCAGTGCGGCAGTCCGCGACCCGAGCAGCAGAGTCGGCAAATGAACAAGCAGGTGAGGTGATGGCGGCGTGATGCTGATGCTGGTGCTGGTGCTGTGGGCGTTAGTGGGCGTGTTAGGTGGCGCGCATCCGGACTCAGACGCCTGCGAATAGACGGAGGGGAGACGCATGTCGCTCAGCCTCACTCAGCCTCGTCCTCCTCAGTTCAATTCAATTCAATTCAATCACACACAGACACACAGGGTCTCAGCCTCGTCAGCCTCGTCAGCTGCGCGTCGTAACGCACAATCTAACTACCTAATCCGTAGCTCATTTCATTTCATTTCCTTTTTAGCTAGCTACCGCGTTTATTTCATTTCCTGCAGGATTTAAGGATTTAAGGATTTAGACTTTGCTTTTCGGGGGAGCGCGATCGGTCTGTGGGATTTGAGATTGGAGATTTGCGAGGGATTGGAGATTGGAGATTGGAGATTGCACCCCGGATCCTCCGGGCTCCGGCTGGCGGCCGGTTCCTTTCAAGGGTTGTGTGGGCTGTGTGGGTTGTGTGGTAGGGGTTGGGAGACCGTAGGCGTGGGATTGGGATTGGGGGTTGAGAGCGAGGGGAGGATGCTTGGTTGCGGATGCTTGGGGTGGGCACGTGGGGGTTGGAATGGAGGGGTAATGGGGTGTGGTGGTGGTTGTTGAGTTAAGGTTTTTGTGGTTTTTATTTTTATTTTATTTTTATTTATTTATTTATTTTTTTTTTAAAAAAAAAAAAGTATGTAAGGCGAGTCTGCGCTGCGCTGTTTCCCTCTTCCCTCTTCTGTGTGTATGTACGCGCGCGCGAAGAAGGTCAGGAAGAAGAGCGCGCGCGTACTACGTGCAGCGTACGCCAGACAACGCGAATATTCTCAAGACAGCGCCACGCGCGCGCGACCCGGCAGCCCTGCTCCCCTCCCCCATGAATCTCACCGGAAGCAAGAGTCTACTGTAGCCCAGCCCGAGCCCAGCCCGCCCATCGCAGACCGGCGCCCATCAACCACCATCATCACCCACCGCACCCTCGCATCCGATCCGATCCAAGCTCCCTCCTCCGGCCACCCGGCTCAGGCAAGCACCGCAACTGCAAGCACCCACCCACTGCGGAGGCTGCTCCTCTGACTCGCTCGCGATCGATTGTTTCAGGAGACGGACGGACGCGGCGCAGGGGCCTGCCTCTGCCTGCTCGAGCCTTGGGGGGCCGAACGCGAAAGAAACACTCTCACACACCCACGCGCCCGCCCACGGTCCCCCCAACCTGTCCGCGCCTTGGGCCCTTGGCTGTCGGACCTTGGCGTGTGCTTGGCTCGGACCTCTCCTGGCACCCGGGCGGGAGCGTTCGGAGCTCGGAGGCGGTGGGTGCGGACGCGAGCGGCCTGGCGGGCGGGGGGTGCGCGTAAGAAACTTGGTTTTAGGGTTATGCGTGCGCGTGCGAGCAGAGTTTTTGTGTGCTGTGTGCTGGTGGGTGGCCGTGTTAGACCTACCTACGGACTTAGGGTATGTAAATGTGTGACACGGTGCGGCCCGCACGGGGGTGCGATACGAGATAGGTACGTAGGAGATAGGGATTTTATCGGGGGATGGGGAGGGGAGGTGTGTCGTCACTGCTTGTGAGGATTGTCGTTGGTGGGTGGAGGGTGTTGGGGTGGGAATTTGAACTGTACGCAGAATGAGTGTGGAATCGTTGGGAGGAAAGAGCTTGGGATAAAAGGTCGAAGGCAGGGCAGAAGGATGAGGTATAACATGGTGGGGAGGTGAGTAGGAAGAATGCCTGATTAGGAAGTTTACATTAGGTGAGTCGGCTTTTGGAAAGGTGGACGAGTTACTAAAGTAAGTCTCTCTCAACTACTTCCTCTACGTTCACCTGTCACACACCATTTCATTCAACTTCTTTCAGTCAAACAGCGAATCACTTAAGCCGTTTACCCATCACCCCACCACCCGTCATCAAACTCTAAACCCTAAACCTTAAACCCCAACCTCGGCAACTATCCCACCCATCCCGTACCCCCTCGTATCCAGCACTCGTATCTCAAGCGCATCACGCAACCCTAAGCCATGCCACCTTATCGCTTAACCACCTCCAACCCGTGTGCAGCTTCCTCCGCGACGTCCCTGCCGCTCCCGCGCTACGCCGTGCCGCGGCAAAGAGTGAGAGAGAGAGAGAGAAAGAAAAAGAAGCTAACTCGGCACACCTCATCGCCAGACCGGTAGGCAGGCACACGCGTCCGCCAAACATGCGGTGAGGGCAAAAAGGGGCAGGAGGGACGACAGCCAGGCCAGCCGCTGAAGCTCCATGCCTCCAGAGGCACGCCAGCTGCGCGCACAGAGAGCGTCGGCTGGACCGCGATCGCCTTGCCGGCCGAGGATAGCCGCTCGCTGCGCGATGTTACAATATGCTCGAAGCTTCTGCCGCGTAGCGAAGCGAGGAGAGAGAAAGAGGGGGGACCAAGTGCGTGCGGGCGTGCGGACGGGCCGTCGTCAATGTCATCGTGTGATAGTCAGGCACACTGCACGCGCAGGTAGGTGTTGGGCGAGGTGGCTCGTACGGCTATAATATAAATAAGAGCAGCGCGGACATCGGTGGGGGTGATCGCGGCGCGTGCGCGGATGATGTATAGATATATTTGATAGACGCACTTGCCTCTATATTGCGGACGGACTCATGCCCGGAATAGTAACTGAATTGGTGCTATGGCGATTGGCTGGTTGTCGTTACTCTTCTCGCCTAGTACTTTATTGCCTGATGCCTCTGAGCGAAGGTAGGGTTGTACATGGCTATTTCGGCATAGGTAAAGGTAATAGTAGATTCGCTTTCATATTTACCGGACTTGTCTTTCCCCTTGCTCTTCTTTATTATTCTTTTCTTCTTCTTCTTCTTCTTCTTCTTCTTCTTCTTCCTCTTTTATTCTCTATTCTTTCCTTCCTCGCTCTTCCTCTCCTCATCGCCCCCACCACCACGCGCACCACGCGCGCCGCTCACAACACGCATCCCAATCTCCCCCACAGCACCACACACGGTGAGCAGCCCTCCCCAGGCCCTACCTATCAACCACGCCATACCGCGCCCGCATGCACCAACCATCCAAGCAGCGCACGAGCAGCCCGCCCGCGATCCCCCCATCCGCCCGGCTTTAAAGCCCTCCGCAGAGCTACCCCGCGCGCTCCTTCCCTCTTCTCGTCTCTTCCTCACGCACGCGCGCTCCCACACACGTAAGCATAGCGTGTCCATCTCGCTGCCTACCGAACGGTAAGACCATCTAGCGAAAAGAGAAGCTCTTAACCGAAAAGAAAGCCCGTCTAGCGAAAGAGATGCCTAGCCGAGAGTACCTCCTATAGAAGCGAAAGCAGATCCAGAAACTCGGCCTAAGAATAGAACAACATGCTATTTTGGGACGCGGCGTCTGAGCGCGGGGTGTGCGAGATGAGGGGTTTGTTTGCGTGCTGAGTGGTGGGAAGGGGGGCGGGAAAGGGGCAGCGTTGGGTTGGAGTTTTGTTTGGGTTGTTCGCGGTTCTTTTTCTCTCTTTCTCTGTATCGTGTACTGCTCTAACGCTTTCTTGTATAGAATATCTCGTTCTGGTTTCTGTATTAACTCTAGCTATCTCGTCGTACCTAGAACTCGAGACATCTTTAGCCTACCTTACCTTTTATACTAATATAAGGAGGAGGCTACCTATCTTGCTTTACCTTTAGTAGCGGAGGGTAAGTAACTATATAAAGTAGAAGGTCTGCAGAATTAACGGTTTTATCGAATAAATATAAGAGAAAGAGGATAGGTTAGTAGTAGGTTTTTGTGAAGCTGGGCGCAAGGAATTGGACGCCGCTTGTCCTCCTAAATTACTACTACCTATAGAGGTATATATGCTGCTATCTAAAAGAATACGTTTTCTCTTTAAGATCCTTATTCCCTTGCAGTGGATAAACGTGTGGTGTAAGGGGTAAGGCTGTAGTGTAATAACTGACTGTAATAAGGCTGAAAAACCGAGAGTTATCGGAGTGATCCTGGCTGACAGTTTTCTATAGGTGAATATACGAGTTACTTTCTTTTTCTAGACCTAGCTATTGAACTCAAGAGACTCAAGCTTTGGTTTAAAACACCGTAGGCCGCTTAAGACAAGCTTAGATGCTAGGAAAGAGCTGAAATTTGACATAGTCGAAAGGTGTTTGAAATCCTTAGTGGCAAGATAAAGAATGTTTGATCATTTATGCGAAGATGAGTCCCGGCAGAACCCTCTTGTAAACCCAATCTAACTGCTGAATGAAAGATATGGTTACCAACAACCTAAATGAAATGCCTTCCATTAAGGAACGGCGTAAAATGAGCGCGCTTTCGGTCACCCGTAGAACTTATTTGCTTCAACATCATCATGACGCATGTCAGTAATATCCACTGTATCATCGAAGACTATTTCTAGTCGTTGCCCAACGGATTTGATCTTGACTGAGTGCTCAAAAGCCTCGGTCGTGTTGATGCCCGCTCCAGTGTTCTTCAGTACTTCCGAGCGTGTCGAGTTCATCGCCAGCGCCACAACTTCCGGCGTCGTGTCCCAGGAGTTTGACGTCTGACCGGTTTTAATTGTGTAAAGAACATGATAGAGGGCCATTATGCAGTATAGGAGGAGCACGGCCATTGCGGCAATCTGTGTGGCGCTGCGACGGTTGTACGCATAACCCTCGACCACTACATGGGCAGTAAACTTGGTGGCATGTTCCTGCTCGGTGGCTGTCAATTCGAAGGCATGGCCACCATATCCGAGTGATGATTTTGGTAGGAATTCTTTCAAAAAGGCTGTCGGTAAATCGTTTTCGAGCCCAGTCGCGACCTCGTTTGATCCTTTGGCTGTCCCGGTCATCGTGGTATTATAGCGTACTCGAGAGATACCATTGAGTACCATGAGCGTCAGCATACTTTCTACCATGACCTCATTGAAGGCTTCATCGGGAGACTCTGTAGAATCCCACAAACCTGCAGTTTTAGCCATACGCCCAAATGCGGTCTCGTTGATAGCGTTAATTGTCGGATTGAGAAGCCGGGCCCATGCAGCTCGCGGGGTTATCTTAGGGAAGGAAGACCTTAGAATCCCTTCTCGCATTGAGTTTGGCCAGTCGTCGCTATATGAAATCTTGTAGACGAAGCGTTTTGAGTTGGTGGTAGCTTCGATGTAACGACTGACAATGCTACAAGAATAGACAGCGCTACTATTTAGTGATTCTTCCTTAGGAGGGAAGATTGCTACAGCTTGAAGTGTGGCATTAGTGCCATCTAACGTATCAAACCATAACAGATCTGGCGAACGAATGGAAGGCAGTATCTCCTGTCTAATCATTGAAGAGACGTTATCATCAACGACCCATTCGCTTAATATGGATTCAAGTTTTGCAGGGTTTCCTCCAGGGGGGTTGGTGGTAAGGTTCTGCAAGTTGGGGTATCGTATGAATTGTTCGTCAAGAGGCGATAGGCCTAGGTCCTGGCGCAGGCATCGGGTAGCTACCACAACTTGAGGCGCAGTTATGGAAGCCTTTGCGTCTTTTCTAGTCCAGAATCTCTTCTGTCTATCAATTATAATGGAAGCATACGTCCAGAAGCGGATTATCTCAGCAACGCCATCGGCGACAGCAGCCACTGGAGTAGATGCTCGAGTAAACGCTTCAGGCCAGATTATTTGAAGGTCCGGGTTGGGAGACCGAATAACAGTCCATACCGAGCGCTGGGATAAAGAACCGTCGAAAAGTAGATCGTGCGGCACGCTTGCTCTTGGTTTAAGCTTTCTCAGGTAAGGACAGTACCCACTATCAATCGCCTCCCAACCTCCATGTGGACAAGACTTGTCCCCAGTGTCAACATTGCAATGAGCGATTTGAGGTGTTATATCCAGGACTTGCGGAAAAAGGTCTGCTCTTGTGCGGTTTAACCAAAGTGTGGTACCGCCTGCTGGCCATGAGTTTAAGCTGGGTCTCATTAGCTGGGCGGTAGATGGCCCAACTGAGACACCGAGCAGAGCGGATATGAGGAGGAGGCCGATGATTTTATACTTTTTGGCTTTATTGTTCCACTTGTGTCGCATGGCACCGACCATTTCCTGGGACCAGATGACGCTGATGCTCTGAATCCGAAGTCCGGCAATGAGTGCACCAAACGGCAGGCCGTCACCGGTAGTGACCTCTCTGCGGATAAATGTAAAAAGAGTGGCAGTGAGCGAGGAGATCATTAGCAGTTCATGTAACTTCGCTGCAAACTGCAGGGCTGCCAACTTCTGATCGTCCTGTCCCGACTCGCCGGATAGTTCTCCACCAATATAGAATTCGTGAACATTCAGGAAGATCAAGGCAACGGCTGCTCCAACAGGAATGAAGTGGATCAGGGTCGTGATCCCGACTTGTGTCCTGCTCTTAAACATGGCAATCTTTGGCTCTTCTTGTAAACGCTTTCCTAGCCGACCAGCGAGTATAGGGTAAAGCGCGTTCAGCTTGAGTGTCCTGACCAATGTCCTCAGCTTCAAGGAAATGCTGTTCGGTTTCTGGGGAGATAATTCATGATTCGCGTCGACCAAAACTTCGTTTGAAGCTGTCTTTTGTGAAGCTTTACCGTCATTCACACTGTACAATAAGGGATATATCAGTTTCTTATGCCGACCCCGATGCAACAAATGTATTACGTACTTCAGTTGTCGAACATGCTCAGACATCATATAGGCCTCCTCGACATCGAGTGGGATATTATCATAGCGATATTGGATACGCTCAGACTGCCCTTCTGTGGTTAAACCCCCATCGGAAGATTGACGAGCTACTGGAAAATGATGTCGATGACGGACTGGTTGTCGATCTTCAAGCGGAATTTCCATTGATATAGATTGATATAGATGGAATGTTAGAGTCATGAAAGACAGTTCGATCGAGAAAGCGAAATTTGGCGGGGACTAGTAAGGCTGCAGTGTAAAGATGTATAATAGAGGGCAAGGAGAGACTTTATAGCCATTCTCTTCAGCCTTGTTGGCACGGCGACTCCGCGCCTACAGCTGAAGTGTGCTGCAATATTATTGGTCTATATTCTGTCTGCAGCCTGATTTTGTCCAGGTGATCGAGAAAAAACGCCTTCTCGGTTAACGGTGCTAAATCAATCATCTATAACTGCATGTCAGACGCCACAAAAAACTGATGAGATCATTTATAGTATAGTAAATCTAAAAGAAGGTACGAACGGATTCGGGACATCCAACTCTTTCTTGACGATAACAGAGTTGGGAGTCGAACGGTTTTGTCAAGTCGAACTATTTACTTCACTTACATGTAGGTTAATTTTCGTCTTTAGCGGGATTTGAGACAACGGTATTGCCTTGATCTAAGTTATCTCTCCCCCTTTGTGACTTTAGAATCACAGGATAACTTCATACTGTGCACTCTTTCATCCTCATCTCCACCTCATCTTTCTCATCTAAGACATGTCTCTCGATGCACTCGATGAAACCTGCGGCATCGGGGAACAGAAATAGCAGCATAAACGCACGCAGCACCCCATACTTTGGCTGCAGCCTGACAAATGTTGTTCGAAAGCCTTGCAGAGTCGCGATTTCCCAGATAATATACGCAACGGAGGACTTTGCTGTGTAGATTCCAACATCCCAAAACATACTGTGCAGCTTTCCTAGAACTTCCATGGTAAAAAGTCGGTAATAGTGTATGGATTAGGATGGGTCTTCAACTGAAATTGAGCTGAACCAAACATCTGACAAGGATGGGGTCATGTGCGCCTTAGATATGCACCGAATAAACCAACCAGCCACCGCGGATTACATGTAAGGTCCTGGCATCCACCTTCCAATCAGAAGCCACGCTTCTTAAACCAATAAAGTAGCTTTAGAAGACAGACCATTTAACTGATTGCGATATATTGGATCCGTCTTTTATGAAGAACCAATAACATTGTCGTACCAAATTCAAATCCATTGTTCAATAGACAATACAATTCTCGTATAAATGTATTGGTGACCAACAGGAAACTTGTCTAATTCTATATCCGCACTTTAGAGGCTTTTTCGAACAATATACTGTAGGGGACCGACACTGAGTAACCAGTCCCTCCACACCCCGAAGTGATTGTCAAACTAATCTGCAGCTTGCATTCCTGTACCGCATGTACATCTGGCAGGATCCAATTTTCAAGTTAAGGGCAAACAAGACTTATGATCTTTACCAGATCTACCGTAAACATCCGAAGCCCAATGTCGCCGCTCTCTCCATCATAAATGCGCACGGAAAGACGCCCATCCCTGTCAAACCAGTTAGTCCCCGCTATCACAACGAAATATACAGCCATGTCCCATGAATACCTTATCCGTCAGTCTAACACCCCGTCAACAGCGCGCCGTAGCACGCATTGCAGCGAAGGTCCTGCCAGTTTCCTCTGACAACAGCCACAAGCGACGCCTTTTTCTGGTCGTGGCAACGGCCGCATGTGAATTCCATGGGAAAACAAAGACGGTACAGCGTGAAGATGCCTCGTTCTGGGTAGATATTCATCACCATGAATCGGGGCCGGTGTATCCTGGTGTAGACATTGCTTTGCGAGTTGCTTGAACGATATAAAGGATGGGAGTTGGAGATTTGGTGCTTGGTGGGATTCTCTTGACCGAAGGCGGTAGTCGCAATGTGGAACCGAATGCAAGTGTTCAAATTGCATGATGGTAAATTGTGGTCTTTTATAGACTCTGTGGTTTGTTAGGTGCACGTTCACCTCTTTGTCTCATTGTATGCGACATGTCTTTCGACTTACAGGCTTTGCAGACGTTTTTGTGGAAGTGAATCATCGGGAACACACCACCAAAAGCCAGCCTGTGATTGATTCATATTCTGACTGCGGATAAGTGCATCATTGAATTAATGAACGCCTCTAAACTAGCCGTATGTAAATTGATTTTCAACTTTCAGGCCTGGCAGATGTCTTTGTCCAGTTCCACATTCAACTATCCGCAGTCAAAGACTGTTTTTCAAAAACAGGCTTTCGGCGGAGTTTGTCCTATATTTCACTTACACAAACAACATCGAATCAGCAGAGTCTCACTTTGCAACAAAAACCAAGCCATCAGACCCTAACCCCTATCCTAGTAAACACATTGCAGAAGTAAACTGCAATCAGTACGATTTCTTCATCAAGTTGACAAAATTAAAACTAGGTTCTCACTAATGATAAATCGTCAAGTTGTTGCCCAGGAATGTGAAGACGACTATGGTAGAATTAATCACTTCATAGCTAGGGTCGAGGTTTAGTCCGGGGTCAAGTTTTCATAATAGTAATTGAAAGGAGTTTCAAGGAAAATACCGGATCGGAGCTCTCAAATTTGTTTTTAGTGTTGTGACAATCTTCTTTGGCAAGGTGCTTGTCTTGGAGAGCGTGTTAGACTTGACTGTTCCGGTGTTTTACATGCCACGAGGCTTAGGAACGAATTTCATCCCTAGGCAATAACTTGTTACGCACTGGCGAGACAACCATTAGCCCCAGGCGTTTCATATAGAACACTAGGAAGACCTGGCATCATTAAGATTGTTGAAGTACCGAAAACTCTAAACGAAGTTGGTGTAGAGGTAGCCATTATATGCTAGCTCTGTTCCGGCGCTGATTCTTCTATAACAAAAACCCCCAGCTCCAAACATTTTCTTAGCTGACAGTCATTTATCAGCTCGGCTCGAGCAACAATACCCAACAGACCAAAGGTATGCACTCAGTCTCATTATATAAGAAACACCAATAAAATAAGTAAAACACCAAAGCAAAAAAATCAGTATTCCCAGCTCAACATCTATCCTACAAATGTAACCACAGTCATACTACACCGGAGATTATCCATCCAGCACCCTTTTTCCAGCCCTGAGAGTTGCTATCTCCTTGCTGATGCTTGCCCTTTTTTCTGTTGTGCTAGATCGCTCGCCAGCAATCTCTTCGAGCTCATTTTCTGGCAAGAGGCTAACAAATTCAGGCGAAAAGATGGACAAAGGGCTAACAGGGCCGCTTATGAGGTAATAGTCGACTGCCTGCATACAGATCGTGTCGATGAACCTTTTCAAAGCCACCTTGTAGTAGGACTTCAGAATGTCATGCATGTCCTCGACAGTCTGGTCATCGTTACTGACGAAGACGTTCAGCGTGTCCCGGAGCCTTAATAAAGGCTCTTTGTCATCATCATTTGTCACCCAGCTCTTGAGGCTCCGTAAACGCTTCTCAACTCTGTCGAGCCGGCGCTTCCTGAGGTTGTCGGCGAAGTAATGGTTCAAAGTAATAAGCTTTCCATTACGCTCCACGGAGTCCAGGAAAGTAACCTGTGCGAGAGCCCGCTGGTAGCACTCCAGTACCGATGGACGCAGCTTAGCCCACAGGCGCTCGATTGTGAGTGGATCCTCACAGACGTGGTGGAGTACATTGTGAAGAAATTTGTGTATTTTCCCAATGGCGCCTTCAACGTGGGTAAAGGCTAGGTTTTCCCATTGCTTCGAAAGCTCCAAGAAAAGGGTAGGAAGAAGAGAAGGGTTGATGGTAGCTACATCAAATCCTTTCGAACTGTCGAATTCATTTCTTATCCAACTGATAATGTCGATTCCTTGCATATAGGTCCAATCTTCTGGTTTTCGACGCAGCATGATGCTATCCAGTTCAGGGAACTCAGGAGTATCGTTTTCGGACGAAGAAGGTGTGGTCATTTTACTCTCAGTTTGAGAGCCTTCAGGTACTGCCGGTGGTCCGTTGCTGGTGAAGTGTCGAGAATAGCTTTCAGAAAACATAGTCTGCGAAAAGTCCTCGTTCAGCCGCGCCAGTACTGTCGCAAGCCTATACTCGGGGTCTTTGAAGCAGCGATCTCGTGAGTAATACCCATCAACAGACTTGGTGGCAATGACTTGGAATGCTGAAGAAATTCGTGTGAGATAGGCCCGTTGTTCTTCTGCGGATTGCCGTGCTGAGCCAAGCTGCTCTAGTTGCCGCTCGCATTCTTGGATTTTCCTATAGACGTCCGTGGTGACTGCCCTGAAATTCTGTCTTGTTACCTCTACCAAGAGTTTGTCCAACCTTTTCTGTAGGGCTGAGATGCCAGTCCTGTCCTTCGGAGCAGAGCACCAAGGAGACGATTCGAAGAATGCTCTCTCCTCAGTGTTTCTGTCCTCCAGAGATGATTTTTGCCTGCTTTGGCTACGGTTGCACACGACCGTATATCCAAGACTGTTGCGGCTCTTCTTTCCGTTTATAAGATCCAGGACCTGGAGTATTTATTAGCCTTAAAGCCCTCCTATATTCTATAAGCGGAGGAAAATACACTGTGCTCAGCTCCTTTGTCTACCAAATCGGGTTTAGTAAGGACACCAAGTGTACGTTGATTCCTCGGGTCCACGTCTTCCGCCATTTGAATTATTTCCTGGGTGGCGATGTCGACGTTTGCGGGAATGACAGCACTGAGCAACTCAATAAGATTTCTGGGTGGTTGTTACAAGAATAAACTTACAGTATTATGCTTCGCGGATTCCTGATACGCTTGTCGATCATCTGTCGCACGAGGGCTATATCCTCCTTTGTTGTTTGACCAGGGGTAGGCTCTGACGAGAAGTTATTAGTTTTATCAACGCGCGAAGGCTAATCATGAACTTCTCTGAAACTTACTCCTGAAGATACCTGGAAGGTCTATGACACTAAAGTGCTCATAGCGCGGTCCGGAAAGTTCGATCTTGAGCGTGTCGTCGGAAAAGGATGATCCGCCGGAAGCGCAACCTGAAATCCCCATTTTCTGGCTAGCCTTAAGAGAATTAGTCACAAGCATGCTTTTGTGATTACTCTACCTACTATAGACAGAATTTTCAAGTATTTGTCTTCGTTGAAGTCATCCAAGTTTGTAGTTTCGAAAAGTGGGATAGGCTTCTTTAGCTGGCTCGCCTCATCTGACTGAATAATGCTGATGTCGACCTTCTGCTCCGGTGATCGCTTGAAGACAATTTGTGTCGGAAAACGGGTGCACAGTCCAGAATCGCGTGGGAAAGGGAGAGCTGTTAAGCCTTCGAGCACGGAGCTCTTCCCACTTGACTGGTCCCCAACAACGACAAGCTATAATAATTGTTAGTACATTTATAGGAAAGTCTAATAGAGTTGCTTACTTGTGGTAAAGACACATAACGGTCTAACCGAAGGGCGTAGAGTTCGTCGATTTTTTCCAGACGAGTAGTGTCTTCGGCAAGCATTTTCAATAGAGAGCGCTTTGCAGTACGTGAAGAAGTTCTAAATGCTGCGGTATTTAGAAGTGCACGTTTAATGGTCTTTATCAGTAACCTCTCTCTTAAAAGAATGTCAGATATTGTTTGGTTGAGCCATAGATAGAGCAGTACCTCATTCTGGCAGTCTCCATGCAGCTAGCAGAGTACTTCCCTTGCGAAAACGTCTAACCAGCTGATAGCTACTCTCAATTCGTCAACAGAGAGTCCCGTTCCATTTTATGTGGGAATGTGGATGCTTTCGGGCCAGTTAAGCACGGAATGTACAAGAACGGTGAGCCAATTGCATTCCAAAGACGCAATTACATCCGTGCTGAAACTTTTATAAACATCACATTATCTTTACTCGAGACGGGAGGTAAGATGGCTTCACCTCTTGTTTGTAAAGGCCCTCCGATCACTCTAGAGCAACGTCTTGCTCTTACGGACTCGAAAATATCCTTGGTCTTTCCTCAACACAAAATCGAATTTGTCACCTCGAGATGCGAAGTAAGCACTGGAAACGTAAGTGCCCTAGAGAATAATAAAGTGCATATAGCTTACTCTGCTTTAGCAACTGCGCCATTTTATCGACGGCAAAATACTTCGCCTTGATCTTCTTTCTGGCCTTGGGACCCAGTGGCGCATCTTTGATGTAAACGGAATGGTCATCGACTTATCAAAATGGAATGCAAGTAATTCTGCCGCGGCCACCTACACTATCAAAATCCTGCCACCTGAGGATCGCCTTTATGGAATTCCTACGGCGCCTTTAAAGCCAGAGGAAATGCTTCATATTCCCGACACTCATACATGCATCACTGCCATCGTCCAAAAGACTGAAGGTACGAAGAAAAAAAAGAGGACTATCCAGTCGAGATCGAAATTTATAGTCCCATCGGAAGCCACAGTCACAGAGCTTTGGTTACGACTGGGTGAGTATCTAGGCTGCAACATAACAAGGCTTTTTGTCCAACAACCGGGTATTGAAGACAGGTGCAGTGAAACACCTCCGTCTAGAATTTTCCGGTACGATAGCAAGAGAATTTTCGAATTGTCTTCGAACAGCGTTCTACATCTTTTAGTAGATATAGGCTTCGGTATACAGGGCATGTAATATTAGGATTTGTCGTTTTCTTTTCTATCGTCATAAGATAGTCAAGTATTGATTGGGTTTTCTTTCGAATATCATCTGATGAAAAAGTCAACTTCACCATAAGAATAAAAGTATTAATGTCCCTCACCTATATCCGAAGTTCAAGGTTGAGCGAAGCTGGCCAGTTAGTGCGTGCCACGCGGGTCCCAATTGGGCACTGGTTTGCCGGCGTCGCTCAACGGTGAACATCGGATTTGGGTGAGGGACGTTAGTCTACTAACTAAGCATTTACTTTGCTACTAAATATCAACCGAAACTTTCTACAAACTTACTATATATACAACGTGCATGTATATACCTCTGATCAGTATACAAAACAGAACCAAAGCAGATATACAATAACCTTCGACTCTACATCGGGTAACGAGCAGGGCCGCTACAAACGACTTACTTTCCATTCGTCTGCTCCACACCACCATGGATTCAAGAATCTACTGGCATACAACCCGCCCGGTTATTTATAGCGCTACATTAACCTTTCTCTTAGCACGCGCCTAACACACTCACCACACAGCAATTACAACCACTCACTTACTTAATCAAAACCAACGCACCACTAACAACACATCCACAACCACAAAAGCAATAAATTGGTATCCATATCCAATCCGCTCCAATCCATAGCACACCCACACCAACACACAACACACAACATCGAACCACCTACAAACACCTACAACCCGTCCATCCACCCCGTCCATCCACCTCACCCATTCACCCCATCCCATCCCGCCACAACAGCACCGCCATCCCACCACCACATCCTCTCCCTTCCTCCCCAGATCAATACCCAAGCCAAGCCAAGCTAACAGCTAACAGCTAACAGCTAATCCCTCGCAACACAGACAACAACAACAACAACAACAACAACGCCGCCACGACCAGACCAGACCAAAGAAACAGCAAAACGACAAAACCCAAAACCCAAAACCCAAAACGAGAGAACTAAGCCGCGTGCGCGCACGCTTACGCGCTTCCTTTCCCTTCCATACCCATCCCCATCCCATCCCATCCCATTTCCTGCATAGATCGATTGCAATGATTGCATAGATTGCATAGCATAGCGCCATCGTTCCATCCATACGTATTCATCAGTCGTAAAAATACTTCCTCGCTTCCTTCTCTTCCTCGTCCTCCCCCCATCGCCGTATACCCCTACCCAACCCCCACCAATCCAAACCACCCACACAACCCCACCCCCAGCTACAGCTCCATCGCCCCACCACCATCATCATCAGCATCATCATCATGCCGCTCCTCCCCTCGCCCCCGTCTCCGCCCCCGCTCGCAATCAACGCCCGCAAGCGTCACCTTCGTCGGCAAATGATCGAACACAGACTCCGGCACCGTCTTGCCCACCACCGCCGCCTCAGCCGGCGACAATGTCGGGCTGAGCGGGTCATGGGTATGCGTCGCCGGCTTAGACGCAGAAGCGTCATCGCTTCCTCCAGTGAGGGAGCGGTGATCCAGCTCCATCGCCGAAGAAGAAGAAGAGAGAGCCGGCGGCTGCACCGCCGCTACAACAGCTGACCCATCACCATCGCCATAACCATCATCGTCCCCAACCTTGTCTTCAAAGAAGCCGCCCTCCTCCGCCCCAGCCGTCGAGTCAATCATCCCGCACAGCTCAAGGTTCATATCATGTATACTTCGGCGCATAAACACGTCTTCGGCATTGAAGTCGCGCAAATCGACGCCCACCACGGCCGACGCCGGCTCGTCGAACCCCGAGTCCTGGTGCACGGGCGGGCTGAAGCGGCGATCGTGGTGGTCGTGGTCAAAGCGCGCCTCGGCCGCCAGGTCCGCGAGGATGTTGTCCTGCGACGCGCGGTCCTGGAACGAGCTATTATTCCTGAACAGACGGGCGCGGCTGTACGAGGGCAGCGGCGACGGAGGAGGCATGTCTTGCAAGCCGGCGAGGTCCGGGTAGCCGGCCATGGGCGGCGGGATGAGCGCCGGCTCGGCCTCGAGCGCGTCGGCTGCGAACGGCGTGTGCGCTTCCGTCGTCGGCGTCGAAATGCACACCGTGGCTTGCTCCTGCGTCATGAAGTCGTGGTGGGGGTCTTCCAGCTTGAACGAGTCGCGTTGCACGAGCCGCGTCGACCCGTCTACGTATATTTGCTCCCAGGGCCGCTCGTGCTCGGGTGGCGGCGAGGCCAGTTCGGGCTCTGCTTCGCTGTCGCCGAGAGACATTGCGGATGTGGATGGGGGGCTGAAGATGGGGGAGTTGGTGTAGCGTTGTCGGAGGTCTGCGGGGGATCTTCCACGGCCTCCGATGACGTAGGAGCCAGAGCTCTCGGCTTCGTAATCTGTAGGTGGGCCAATGTAGCTGAAAGTAGTCGAAGGATCAAGGCTTGGTGGGTCAGCAGGCTCCGATGAGATGTGATTTCGTCTGTGCTGGTCAATATCTTCATGGTCAACGGCTGTCTTTGGATCGATATACTCCTTGTCCGACCGGTGTGTCATCACGCTATGTCTGGCATTCGAATTTGGTCTTGTAGTTGCCGGATCGAGATCCGGGAACCTGGAGAGGAGAGACTTTGCCGTGGGCCTGTCGCGGGGATCAGGACTTAAGCAAGCCTCAACAATGTCTTTAAAGTACGAGGGGACCCCGTCGCTTGCAATCGTAAACATCAATGGACGTTCCTGGCGCTCGGGCTCATCCTGCTCTTCGGCAAGAGCCCACAAGACCATGCCGAGCTGGAACAGGTCTGACTTGACGCCAATGTAGATGCCGATCCTCTGGCCAGATTCGATCAGCTGCGACAATTCAGGCGGTTCCCATCCCACGGGGCATCCTCGCCGGTTGATGTCAATAATCTTCGCGTCGTCATTCGAATCGATAACGATGTTCGAAAGCGTAAAGTCACCCTGCACAAACCCGCTCTCGTGAATCTCAGATAGGCCCTGCACAATCTGCCTGGCCCACCGCTCCCGTCTTGGCCAGAGCATTTCCTTGGTCTCTTTCCAGTCATAAACCAAGTCCACGAGGGCGCCCTTCTCGGCGTAGCTGATGAGAAGCCCCACGATGCGGTCTTCTCTGTCGTCTGTAATAATGCCCGCAAATTTGATAACGCATTGCGAGGCTCGAAGACGGCTGAGGGTATTTATCTCGTAAAGAAACTCTTCAACCGCCTCGGGCCCGGGTATCTCTTTCTTGATGTAAACTTGACCAGCAACGGAGATTTTGTACACAAAACCAGATAAGTGCGACTCAAAGTGAACATCACTCTCGTGGAAAACCCGGCAGTCCAGATGGGCGACTGCCGACGTGGATGGATAGGGGATAATTTCATTCATGTCCTCCGTGACGTGGACATGCAGGCGGCCATCGTCAGTTTGGAGTTTGAGGTTCGTGACGGTCTCGTAAAATTGGATATCCAGCAAAGAATCCCGGATCGACTCGTAAATTCGTGCGCTCTTGTCGCGCTGGTAGTGTAAACTCTTCAGGTCAGCTTCAAGGGAGTCCTCCGGAACCCCGCGGTAGTCGATGGAAATGGTCACTCTTCGCCACCTGTTGGGCTCTTCGGCGTAGGTGACGAAGAACTTTTCCCGGTCAGACATGTCCCGGAAGTGCATGCTCAAGTTCAAGATCCATTTCGCGTCCAGCTCCTGCTGGATGACATGGGCGTCGGCGGACTCTGATAATGCATCGTCAGAAAGATCACCAGCTGCTGACAAGGGCGGGGGGTGTCCCCAAGGCGACTGAGGGGGGTTGGAGCGGTCGTCATCTCCTTCCTTGCCCCCCTTTGGGTCATCATATTGTTGGAGTAATGATTCTTGGGTGGAGCTGTTATTGAAGGGACGCAAGGAATCCGGGGCGGACTGGCGCAAGGGGAAGCGAGGCGGGGGCGAGAGAGGCCGTCGCGGCACCGACTCTGGGAGGTCTCTCCTGTCGGCAGAGAAAGCTCTCCGCTCAGAATGACCTGGCTCGGCCGGGATCAGCCTGTCTCTCTTCTCCAACTCCTGCCTCTTGAATGTCATATGCCGGGGTAAGCCGGGAACGACGGTCCTCGAGCGCTTCCTGCTGCCCGGCTCTTGCGGCCTCGTCTGTGGCTGCGGTGCCTTTTCCCACGCGGCCGGCGGCAGGGCGTCGGACTCGTCCCTCCGCAACCAGCCGCTCAGCCTGTGCAGAGAGAAGCGATCCCACATGTTTGGTTTTCGGTCAAGGGCTTGCGATTGCGACAGAGGCCTCGGAGGAATGGGCGTATCTTCGGTGGAGGGGAGCGGGGGCGGTTGCGACGCGATCGAAGAAGTGCCCCAAGCCATGTTGGCCGAGTCGCTGCAAGGATGCAGAAAGGAGGTTGGACTGTCTCACAGCGGAATCACCATCGAGAGGCAGAGATTTCATGCGGTGGGCGCCGTGTGTAACGCGAATCTGCGGGTCGCCATGAGCGGTTCAAGAGGGGGAGGCTGAAGGACTCGTCGGACCGGAGAAAAAAGTGGTGAGAAGGTCGCGGGCGGCGGTGTCGAGGGCGACTGGGCTTACTTGAGGGCGCAGCAAGTGTGCGAAGTCGGGGATGAGGCGCAGGCGTTGGCATTCACCCCCCAGCGACTCATGAGGCGAGGAGGCTTGCAAGCCGAAAGGGAGACATCACATTGCAGCGCCCTCGTGCAACAGCGTGCTACAGAACCGCTTCATCGTCAACCGTTATATCACGTCGCATCCGCCCGCCAGCACGTCGCATATTGGGCACCCACACAGCAAGGAGACTTGCCTTATCGCCCTTGGCCTCGTGTGCGTTGGCAGCTTCGCATACGTCGAACCGGTGACCAGGATGCGCAGCGGGCGTCCAGTCGCGGGTACGATGTGAAGAGCCTACGTGCCTATTAACTACTAACGCGCTATCGTCGACTGGCTCCGGCTCGGTCCGCACCAGCTCGGAATGCTGCGTCATGGTCCGTATTTGAGATTTCAAGGCCTTTCTCCGGCACAAGAGTCAGGCGCACCATTGCCGCGCATGTACATGGCATCAATGGCCTTCTAGCTCCCTTCGAGAAACTATCGACCGGCATGGCACGTCTGGTACACAGGTGGGCTTTCTGGAATAGACGACCCACTTTCCTTTTTCGTGCCCTGTCCCTTCTCTTTCGGGACTATCGATAGATGAATTTGTCGATGGACGAACGGGAGCCCGTCCTTGTATGTGCTAACAAAGGTGGGATGGGATATTCCTTGCTCTAGATAAGAGGCGGGTGAAGGCTTCATTTTGTTATACGAGCATCAGGTGGTTGTTGCAGCAAAATATTGGATTCCATTTTATTATTATTATTTTTTTCTTTTCTGAAAGAACGAAAGAATAAAAGCGAAGACACATATTGCTTCAATCTATTTGCTTCACGATTGGGGTCTCGCGGATGAACCATGTTGGTGATGGATGGCTGCTGCTCCTGGAACATTGTAATTCACATCTTTACAATGAATGGTAGCTGTTAGAACCGAAATACCAAAGATACTGCAACCGTGCGGTCATGTTCCCGTGAGGAAATTGAAACACTCTGCCGTTTCTGCTTGTCAGGACCTATGTAGAACCTGAGCCCGTAGCCAGATGAAGCAGCTCTCAAGAGCATACAAACCACAACAACATCTACTCCTCCGACCGTCGCATATGCTTACAAAGTACACAGTCCATCCATAAAGACCATTCGTTGATCGAGGTGTCACTTACCGTTCATAGCAGGATTCTCCCATCCTCCATCATCATCTTCATCACCACCAACCACCCCACCAACCGCCCAACCCCCAACAGCAACCCGGATACTCAGCGAGCGAGCGGAATCGACAAACGACGCGAAAGCGGGGGAGCAGCAGCAGGCCGGACAGAAAGCGGGCCATCATCACGCCGGACAGGGCTAGCCGGATCGGGGGAAGCGCAGCGTCTACCTAGCGAGTCGGCTTATTCGGGCTATTGGCTCGGTTTATTCGTCGCAGGCAGCGTGGAAGGATTCCTGCCCGGTCATTGGGAGCCGCGTGGCTGTTGCTCTGCCGTTGCTGCTGTATATAAGAGCCTTGAGTGCGCTTCAATTCTTCTCTGCGTTCGTTTGCTTGTTTGCTTGTTTGTACAGACAGACAGATACCTACCTAGTTAATCAGGCAGCCAACGCCATGTTCAGCCTCGTCGAAACAAACACCGCGGCCATGGGCCTGGTGACGGTAGTGAGTTCCATTTAAGCGTCTCCAACTCCTTCTAACGAGCAAATGGGCCCTCTACTTCGCCGCCTACGCCCTCTACAACGCCTACCTGCACCCGCTGCGCGCCTACCCCGGCCCCAAACTCCTCGCCGCATGCGCCCTCCCGCGCATCCTCAACCGCCTCAAAGGCACCGACTTCGCCTACGTGCACTCGCTGCACGAGCGCTACGGCGACGTCGTCCGCGTCGGGCCCAACGAGCTGAGCTTCATCAGCAGCAAGGCGTGGAAAGGCGTGTTTGCCCTGCCCTCTCAACCTGTCCACCATCCAAATTTTTTTTTAAAAAAAAACTGACACCCGCAGACATCTACGGACACGCCACCCCCGGCAGCCCCGTCCTCGTAAAAGACCCCAACGCATACGGCAAGCCGCCCGCCTACCGCGCCGGCCTCTTCAGCGCCCCCGACGCCTCCCACGCGCACCAACGGCGCGTCTTCGCGCCCGCCTTTTCCGAGCGCGCCCTCGTGCAGCAGACCCCCCTCCTGCAAGCTTACGCCGCCCAGCTCATCCAAATCCTCACCTCTTCCTCTTTTCCCTCCAACACCCCCGTCAACCTCATCCAAGCCTACAACCATGCCACCTTCGACATCATGGCAGACCTGGCCTTCAGCGCGCGCCTGGACCTCCTCCGCGGCGACCCCGCCCACCGCCCCTGGGTCGCCGGCATCTTCGACGCCCTCAAGCTCGGCGGCATCGTCAGCACCCTGCGCTTCTACTTCCCGGGGCTGGTCGCACTCCTCAAGCTGCTGCTGTCGCGCCGCATGAAGCAGCGGCGCGCTGACCATGACCGCTTCGCTGCTGAGCTTGTGGATCGGAGGCTGTGCCGCGGCGAAGGCGGCGAAGGTGGAGAAGGCAGAGAAGGCAGAGAAGGCGGAGAGGCGAGGGGTAAGCGCCGCGACATCTGGAGCCTAGCGATCGCGAGCAGCAGCGACGGCAGCGCGATGAATCTGGAGCAGATGCACGCGAACGCCGCGACGTTCATGATCGCAGGCACAGAGACGACGGCGACGCTGCTGGCAGGCGTGACGTTTTTCCTTTTGGGGCACGGGAGCGCCATGGCGCGGCTGGTCCAGGAAGTGCGGGGCGCGTTTGCGGCCACGGACGAGATGTCGCTGCAGCGGCTGGCGCAGCTTAGATATCTCAATGCGTGTCTGGAGGAGGCGCTGCGCTTGTATCCGCCTGTGCCGCAGGGCATGCCGCGCCGCACGCCGAGCGCGGGCTGCGTTGTTGCGGGCGAGAGCGTCCCCGGCGATGTAAGTGTCGTCTTGGTGGGCTGTGTTGTGCTCAACCTACCTAAGCGCCTCTTTGGGACGAGCAACTGACGGAGCGCGCTGGCTAGGTCACCATTTTCCTCACGCACTGGGCGGCGTACCGCTCCGCGCGCAACTTCGCGCTGCCCAACGACTTCATTCCCGAGCGCTGGTTGACGGGCCCCGACGCGGACGCGCGCTTCGCCCACGACGACAAGAGCGTGCTGCAGCCGTTCTCGGTCGGGCCGCGGAACTGCTTGGGCAAGAGGTATGTACGTCGGCCGAAGGAACGGAGAAGCAAGAACTGACATGTACCAGCCTCGCGTACCACGAGATGCGGCTGCTGTTGGCGAACATGGTCTGGAGCTTCGATATCGAGCTGTGCGAGGAAAGCCGCAACTGGGCGCACCAGAAACAGTGGTTCTTGTGGGAGAAGCCGGCGCTGATGGTCAGGCTGAGGCCTGTCGTGAGGACGTAGGTAAAGTAAAGTAAAGGCACCTAGAAGCACGGTAGCGAAATTGCCAAAAAGCCGCATGTATGTACGTAGATTTCCCCTCTCCTCTCCTCCCATCTTAGAACATACAAACCTCAACCCAAAAAGAAGCCCCTACCTCCTTCCTCAAGGCGCCCTCAACGCGCCATCAACCTCGACCACACTCCCGTTCATATACCTGCTCTCCTCCCCAAACAAAAACGCCACCACGTCCGCCACCTCCTCCGGCGTCCCCATCCGCTCCAACGCATTCCCCCGCGCCATCCCCGCCACAGCATCCCCACCCTTGACCACCCCCGCATTCGTCGGCGTATCAATGTACCCCGGCGCGACGACATTCGTGCGCACCCCCCGCGGCCCCAGCTCCAGCGCCATGCTCTTGCTGAACCCAACCACGCCCCACTTGGTGGCGCAGTAGATGGCCTGGCGCGCGAAGCCGCGCACGCCGCAGATGGACGACACATTGACGTAGGCGCCGCCGGGGGTGGCCATGTGCGGCATTGTTGCCCGTGTTACGAGGTACACGCCGCGCAGGTTCGTGTTCACCAGCTTGTCCCAGTACGCGTCGTCCGTGTCGGTCAGGTCGTAGCTGGTGGGGTTGACGCCCGCGCAGTTGAACACGCCGTGCAGGACTGCGGCGGATGCGGCTGGGGCGTCAGCGCCAGCATTGGCGGAGGAGGAGGAGGAGGAGGCAGAAGCGGCAGCCACGACGTCCCTAACGCACGCCGCCACCGCCTCGCTCGCCGTCACGTCCAGCGCGCCGCAGTAGGCGGTTGTGCCCGCGCCGCAGAGCTGCTTCGTCTGCGCGCAGCTGTCGGGGTTGATGTCCGTGAGGGCGAGGCGGGCGCCGAGGCTCGCGAGCTTGATCGCTGTGGCGCGCCTGTGTTGTAGAGTGTGTGTGAGTGGGTGAGCGAGGGCGTCGCGAACGTGGGGCGTGCGGGGGACGCTCTACCTACTTACCCTATGCCGCTGCCGGCGCCGGTCAGCAGGAAGAGCTTCCCTGCGAGGGGCTTGCTGGCCATTTTATTGTTGTTGTTGTTGTTGTTGTTGTTGTTGTTGTTGTTGTTGGATTTGGAGCGCTGGAGGAGTGTGTGGGCTGCGGAATGGATGAGTCCTGTAGGTATTGTTCTGTTTGTCGGGCTGCTTGTCTTTTGCTGCAAGGCGGGGCACGACGGCGTTGAAGAGCACTGCGGGAGTGGGGAGCGCCGCCGTTTGTTATCGAGGCTCCACGCCGTTGGCACCCGGCAGGAGTGGGCGGCACAACACCAAAAGTGGACCACGACCATCGCATCGCACCAAGCACTCCTGCTGAGACGGGAACACTTGTTCATCACCCTCTCACGCGCAGCATCGCCGTTCTTTCGCTAGCAGTTTGGTTTGTTTGGTTTGTTTGTTTGGTTGCTGTTGCTGTTGAAGATCAGATTGATTGTACCTCTGCCTTCCCAACAACGCGGGCGCAGAATCCCCTTGCATGCATGCCTGGCGGCGGCGCGATGCGTGCCGATGCCCTGAGATGGGAGTCCCGTCGCGTTTGTTATTTCCCATATGCGTAATTTCCACCTCTTCAGCGGCACCATACCATCGTCGCACGCGCTCTCGAGCATGCGCATTAACCCAGCAATCGAGACACCAGGGGGGGATATATGTAACATGAATAGAGAGAAAGCCCGACCCCGTCACCGATAGATGATGATACCCAAGCCTCGGCGTGTTTGTAAGAAACTCCAGAAACTCCAAAGATAAAAAAAAGAACTCAAAAATCACACCTCGTCGCTCGAGAGGGGTGTTTCGATCATCAGCGGCGACTGCGGCTCCCCGAGGATGAACTGCTGTCGTCTACGCCGGTTGGCTCGCTTTTGCAGCCGCAAGATCCCGCATGTACTCCTTCTTATCCTTGGCCTGCATGAGCGACAGCAGGATGAAGTCGGTAACGTAGAAGATGATGAAGAAGAGCGCGATGCCCGCGCCCACGTGGCTCTCCAGCGTGTTCTGCGTGAAGATGGTGCCGCTCTTGTCGGCCGTGGTGGTAGTGGCGGTGCTAGCAGCGGCGGTGGTGGTGGCCATGTTGCTGTTGTTGCGGAGAGCGAATAGATGGATGGGCTGCGCACGGCGTATCAGTCTTTTGTTCGTTCACGCGCCTGGGACTGAGCGCAAAAGAGACTTACGACCGAGAGGTTGGAAGGACGGAGGGACGGGACGGGACAGCAGAGCTCGTGAGCGGCAGGACTGAGAAGGGATGGGAAGCTTCTCCACGCCGGGCCAAAAAATGCTTCTATATACCGCGACGGCCGTCCGCGCGTCTGAGGCAGAGGCCAAGGGGGGCTGTACTGTACCCACCAGAGCGGCCGAGGGACTTCATGCCAGCACCCTTGGGCCTTCACACACCATGACGACGGGCGGAGACGGGCCACGGCTCAGCCTTACGGGTCAGGGACCCCCAAGCACGGCGGCTCGCCCCATGCCGCTTGCCCGAATCAGGGTCTCAAGCGGGCGACGTTGCGACAGAAAATGACCTGAAGGGCTCGCTGGCGGTCAAGGGGCCGGGTCTGCACGTTGCAGCTTGGCGGTGCATGGAGCCTTCTTTCTGCGGGTCGTGACTGCCATGACGCGTGCCAACAATTGGTGTCGTGGAATCCCAAACAACGACAATTAATTCCTCGGTGAGAAAGTCCGCCGTTGGACATGAAGATCGGCTGTGGGACTGACTGGGAATACGAAGAAAGGGTCCCCTACCTACATAGCAGCCCTTCTGCCGCAAACGCGCGCGCGCGCCTTCACCGCGTCAAACCCCCGCTGTCGACCCAGCGCGCGCTCTTTTTTTGGAGGTTCGAATGACGACGGGCGCGACAAGGCGGACGGGATATTGCGATGACGCGGGAGAGGGGCCGCTGGGGGTCGCTGTGGACACTGGGGACGGCAGGGCGGCGTTGCAGGGACTCGGATGAGATCCGAAAACTCGCCCAAGCTCCCTCGCTTGTAGCTCCGTTCCTGGGCAGGTGCCATGCTCGGACGCATTTCGGACGACAACACCATTCCGATCCTACCGACAAAGCTTCGATTCGGCCTGCCACCTCACTCCCGTGACCCTCCCTCTCTCCTGAGAGAGCGCCTTCACCGAAATAGAAACTGGACCCTCCTGTTCCAGAGTTCCCACGGTTCCAATCGCGTTTCCAGCCCGGCGTCGCCTTGATTCATGTCCTCGAAGCCTCATCTCCTGTTCCTTGCAACTGGCCGTGGAATGAGAAAGAGCTGGCATGGGCGGGAACCCGTGGGTGGAATTTTCGTGCGAAACTCATCAGCTGCGGCATTTGTCAAAGCCCGCTGCGTTGTCCAAAATATCCCGCTTATTATTTCAGGACTGCGTCGAGGAATGATTCGAGTTGCAAATCGTGCTGGACCTGTCTCACATCCCAGCCAACGCATAGGTACGCGGGATTGACACGTGCGAAGAGACCGCCTCAACACCACGTGTGGAATCCTCACCACCATGTGGCGCCATGAAGACAAGCCTGATAGGAATGTTGCGAAGCACAGCATACAGGCCTTCACCGTAAAACTCAACTTTATGAACGGATGACGTGCCGGGTCAACTATAGTGCGGGCACGTGACATCCAATCATCTACAAGCATCAGCACATCTTCTCTATCCAGACTATTCCAGTAACCTTCTAGCTCATCGCCAGATCAAGCTTTTGTCGCGCATGTCGGTCACCTGGCCTTTGCTAGATGCGCGCCAAAGTGTTGGTGCAACGCAGGCTATCGGGACCCCGCAGATTCGCATCACATCACTTCACTCGCACGACTCCATGCCAACGGTTCAACGCTCCCTCGACCACCAACCCTGCAGGGATACGCATCTGATTTACGCCCGAGGTTTGATGCACTGAGGCTTGGCACGTGCTGGGGCGGCTCTCTCGGAGCGGGAGGAAGCCCATCGACGCCGCCCGGTGATCTGATCTGATGGTAAACCGGTGGTCCACTCAGCTGCCGCAATGAGTAATACCAAGACGAGACTGCTGGAGCTGCCGGTGGAGCTCTTGGACGAGATCACCGGCCTTCTAGAACAGCGGGATCTGTTCAGTTGGATCCGCGTGTGCCGCCTCTTCCACGCCATCGGCGAGCCGAAGCTTTACGCCCATGTCGTCTTGTCCAAGTCCCAGCAGCAAGTCGACGCCTTCCACACTGCCCTGAAAAGCAAGCCCGAGCTGAAGAAACGCGTCTTGACGGCCACCGTCGACGCCCTCGCCAGCTACTACGCCGAAAATGCCACGCTCTGGTCCGCCTGCGACGCCTTCCCTCTCCTCTCCTCCCTCCCCAACCTCCGCCTCCTCGTCATAAAGTCCCCCAACAGCTGGGTGGCGCAAAACGTCCACCACGACATGGACTCGCACAGGCTGGACGAGCTGCTGGCCGGCGCGAGTCTGCGCGTCCTGCCCCCGGCCCAGCGCACCCTGTCACACCTCACGACGCTGGATGTCGAGTTCCGCGAGCGGGACCCCGTCTACGACAGCGAGGCCCACTGGCTCACCACCTCCGACGACGACGACGACGACGACGACGATGCCGCGTGCTCCGTCTTCCTGAGCCCGACGCTGCGCGACCTCACGCTGCGCAACTGGCACATGCTCGAGTACGACGGCAGCCGCGTCTCGTCGCCCTCGCTCCGCAAGCACAGCACGCCGCTGCAGCGCCTGCGCCTCCTCGACTGCAGCCTCAACTGCCCAGCCATGGCAGCGCTGCTAGCGCTCCCCCACCACCTGCGCACGCTGGACCTGTCCGTCCGCTGGCTCGCGCCCGGCTACCGCCTCGAGGACCACGAGTTGTGGTTCGCGGTCTCCACGCTGTCGGAGTGGGCCGAGGCGTTTGCGCTGCAAAAGCACGCGTTGCAGCGGCTGACGTTTTGCGGTGAGGTGTTTAAGCTGCCTTGGACGGGGGGGCTGGAGCTGGATTTGAGCGCCATGCAAGCGTTGCGCGAGGTTGTGTTTGCTGCGCAGGGGTTTTTGGTCCGTTATGCGGACGGCGATGTGAGCGGGGTGGCGGGGTCGTGGGGGCGTGTGTTGGTGGCGCAGGGTGTGAAGGTGGTTGTAGAGACGAAGAGTAGTGTTCGGGAGGGGCAGGATTGAGGGTAGGATGGAAAGGCAAGCCTGCTGCGTGTGCTTGTTGCATGCCCTGACTGCTCGGGTTCTAGCCGTGAGGCTTTCGGACTCGGTAGTCTTGGGCGGAAAAAGCAAATAGGTGGTAAGCAGCAAGCAAGCAAGCCATGGGCCTTATTATAGCCTCGCAGCCCTGGACGTGCCTTTTTATAGACTCAAAAGATCCCGCTGGACGTCACCCCCCTGCTTCCGATAACAGCCAACATCTCGTATAGAGGCTATAGCGCTTGTGCAACGTTACTGGAAGTGGTGGCTCAGCTGGAGAAAGTTGGCATATACCCACCAACGCGCCGACTCGTCTTTGTATTCTCATAGGTTTCTTCGCCGCACTGTCTAGTACATCTTTCTGAACCAGCGCTCGCACGACACGCAAATTGTTTTTCTTCTCCGTCGGACTTCTCGTGCAAAGAATCGGTGCTTTTCGCTTGTTGGCACGCCGCATCCTCACTACTCTCACGTGACGCAACCATGCTGCTCGCTTCGCCCCTGAAATGCCTCGGCCTCGCCTTGCTGGCTGTGGCGGCGCCTGTACAATGTGAGTCCTGAACTGGAATACTTATGTGCTGTTGTGCGTACGATGTTGACCTGTGTCCTCGACTAGCGAGCGCAGCGCCGTCGTGGACGACGTCGATTATTCCGCACCCTTCTCGTGTGCCGTCTCACGGCGTCGTTTCGTTTGTTGGTACGTATGCGGCTGTCTGTTTCTTCTTTGTCTTCTCCATGTTTCATTTTGATTTTCTCTTTTGTTTTATTTGCTTGTTTTATTTTATTTTATTTTATTTTATTTTATTTTTTGTTTTGTTTTCTGTCCCTATCTTCCCCTCTCTGTCTTTCAAGCCGGTACCTCTGGCTAATATGCTTGTTTGGTAAGACACTACGTCCGGCAGAGACATCGAGGAGAGAGATAACGTGGGGGTTGTAGCCGCTGCCCTCGGCAGGTTCCAAGCCCTCGAAGACCTGAAAAAAGATTTAAGAGACTATCCGGTTCAGGATATGAAAAAGGCGGATCACCTAAGGGCTTGAGGACTGGTGGAAGGCGGGCGTTGCCTCTTCTTCAGTGGCGCAGGACACAGCACGAGACGACCTTTCCTATTTTGTTTCAAGCCAGCATTTCTTGTTCACGCACAAGTCGTTTCGTTCTCAACACTGAATCGTCACGCTAACACCCACTCTCTCCTCTGCAAGACACCACGGGTACCGCCGCAGGAACGATCGAAAAGAGAGACGGCGTCGACGACTTGAAGAACGGCGCCGGAGTGGTCCCGGTGCAGGCTATGAAGCCGGCGGATGCTTTGCTTGCGGCTTTGGGCGGCGGGCGCTGAGTGGTGGAGCAGTTGCTTTTACTGATTAAGGTTAGATGGGAGGTTGTTAGTGCTGTCGTTTTCGCAGTGTGCTTGGATGTCTTTAAAGCTCTTTTTTTTTTTCAGCAGTGTCGTTGAGTCCGCCGGTATAACTTCCAGTGAGGTGCTTTCTCATCGCTAGACTTTGAGCAATTCATCACACCCGTTGTCAACGAACAAAATTGAAAAAGAAAAAACATATATCCTCCGCCGGGTAGCCCCGCAGCAGCGGCCAGGCGTCGGCCCGCACGCACGCACGCACCGGGCACAGCCGCCCACCGCCCAGCGCACCGCCAGAAATTTCCACAGCAGCCCTCGCGCAACACCCATCACGGCCGCTCCCAACACCACCAGCAGCACACCATGTTCGCCGTCCCAGGCTGGAACCTGTCCGCGCCGCTCAAGGTCCAGACAGAGGCCGCGCCCGCCCCTGGCGCCGCCGCCGCCACCGCACCCAGCAAGAAGCGCAAGCGCGGCCGCGACAAGAAGACGGGCGCCAATGCTGCCCCGCTCGTCACCGAGGACAATGTCGCCGACATGTACGCGAGGCATATCGATGGGTTGAAGCCGGCGGCACGGCCGAAGGTGCAGGCGCAGGAGAAACCGAAGGCGAAGGAGGCGAAGCCGGAGGACAACAAGGGCAAGCTGAAGGACCAGAAGCAGCGGCGGGAGTCGGCTGGCGGGAAGGGCGAGGACGACAAGGCCAAGGCGCCTAGGAAGCAGCAGCAGCAGCAAGAGAAGGAAGCGGACAAGGGCGACGACACCGCCGCGCCCCCCAAGGCCAAGAAGCAGAAGAAGGACACCACCGCCACCGTCGCCGCACCCTCCGCTCCACCCCCCGCCCCCCTCCCCGCCGCCACAAAGCTCACGCCCCTGCAAGCCAAAATGCGCGAAAAGCTCGCCGCAGCCCGCTTCCGCCACCTCAACGAGACGCTGTACACGACGCCGTCGGCGCACGCCGCGCAGCTCGTGGCCAGCGACCCCTCCGTCTTCGCCGAATACCACGCCGGCTTCCGGCAGCAGGTGGCCGTGTGGCCCGAGAACCCGGTCGACGGCTTCGTCGCCCTGGTGCGCGCGAGGGCCAAGGTGCGCGAGAACTGGCGCGACAGGCGGAACCGCAAGGGCGGCGCGAAAAAGGGCCCGGACGACGGCAGCGATAGCGATGGCCCCGCGCCTCCGACTCCGGCGGCGTTGAAGCCCCTGCCCCGCACCCACGGCACTTGCACGCTTGCGGACTTGGGCTGCGGTGATGCCGCGCTGGCGACGCAGCTGACGCCGCAGGCGGGGAAGTTCCACCTCAAGCTGCACAGCTTCGACCTGGCGTCGCCGTCGCCCCTCGTCACTACGGCAGACATCGCGAACCTGCCCCTCGCGTCCAACTCTGTCGACGTCGCCCTCTTCTGCCTCGCCCTCATGGGCACCAACTGGCTCGACTTCATCGACGAAGCCTACCGCATCCTGCGCTGGCGCGGCGAGCTCTGGGTCGCCGAGATCAAATCGCGCTTCGGGCGCTCCGCCCACCAAGGGGGGCACAAGCCCGGCGAAGCAGTCGCGCACTCCGTCGGCAAACGCCAGAAGAAAAAAGCCGCTGCCGCCGCCTCCTCCAAAGCCGGCAAACAGGCTGCTGCCGCCGCCGACTCCGCCGCCAACGACGCCGCCCAGGCAGCCGCCGAGGCCGAGCTCGACGGCGACCTCGGCGGCGCGGTCCCCACCCCTGCCGGGCAGGAAACAGACGTCAGCGCGTTCGTAGCGGCGTTGCGCCGGCGCGGCTTCGTGCTGGATGCGCCGGTCGAGCGGCCGCAGGACGCCGTCGACCTCGGCAACAAGATGTTTGTGCGGATGCGGTTCGTCAAGGGCTTGCCGGCTCTGCGGGGGAAGAACGCCGGGCTCGATGCCGACGGGAAGCCGGTGCTGCAGCAGGGGATGCGCAAGCCGGGACGATTCACGGCGGTCAAGGAGGACGAGGAGGCGGATGATGAGGCGGATGCGAGGGTGCTGAAGCCGTGTGTTTATAAGTTGAGGTAGTGGGTAGTGGTGGGTGGTTGATGGTGGGTGAGGGAAAGTAGAAAACAAGCACGATCAAGCATAAATAGGTAATCGATTCACTGAATTTATGCCATACCGTCTTTTCCTCCTTGCAGCCAAACAAGCAAGGCCCAAGTCTCAAGTCCCAAGCCTCAACCCCTCAGCCCTATCCCCTCGACCCACACCCGCACGCGCAGACGCCTCGGCACGCAGGAAGGGGCAAGGAGGGTCGGCGAGGCTACGGGGTATATATATATATATATATAGAGATAGAGAGAGAGAGAAGTTAAGAGACGGTAGACGGCACACCACATCACCTCACACCTCCCACACACACACCACATCACCATCTTCTTCAACATCAACATCGAGAAGACGTTTCTCCCACATTCCGCATTCAACCCCACACCCCCTTGATCATTCACGTGCGTGCGTGCGAGATAGTTTTAGCCCGCAAGAGGTAGATGGAAAGTGGAAAACCAGTAGAGCGAACAAGGTAGAGGTGGAAAAGTACACGGTGCCACCGCCTGGATCTTAACCTGGTCTTGTTCTTTCCTGGCTTGACTTGACTTGCCTCATCGTAACTCGACTTGACTTTCTTTGCTATAGTTACTACTACTACTAGCCGTCCTCATTTCTTGCTCCCCTCCCATTCCCACTTCCTTCCTTCATCAATACGTACCCCCGTACCCCCTAGGTAGGTAAGCAACAAAAAGCAAAAATCAAAAAAGAAAATGAGGAAAAAAGAAAAGAGGGAAAAGAAAAAGAAATCATGCGCCGGACCCAATGATCTATGCCGCCTTCCGTCCTCCCCATCCACCCGCCCACCCAGCCACCCACCAACTATGCCGTTATGGCCATCAGCTAGCCATCGTCAAATTCCCCGTCCATCCCTTCATCCACCTATCCCGTCTTTCCCTCTTTCCCCCATCATCATCATCATCATCATCGTCGTCGAAGTCGTCGGTGCATGTCGCTTCGCTCCTCTTCTCCTCCACCACCACCCAATCACTCAGCCCTGGAACAGGAAACTAGCCGCGTACTCGACGTTTCCCCCCGTCGCGCGCAGCGCCTCAATCGCCTGCTGCCGCGAAAACCCCAGGCTGACGAGCTGGTCAATGTCCTGCGCGGGGAACGGATCCGCCGCCACGGCCTGGCGCGGCGGCAGTTGCGGCTGGCCCGCACCCGCACCCCCGAGCTTCTGGCCCTGACCCTGGAAGTTGCCGCCCGCCGCCGATGATGAGCTACCAGAAGCTCCCGACGGCCCCGCCTGGGCCGATGACGACGACGACGCTCCCGCTCCTCCCTCCGCCGAGCGCACCACCCCCGACCGCGTCCCCACCTCGGTCCCGTTCGGCCCCGCCACCGTCGGCTCCTGCTCCTGCGCGTCCTCGAAGCTCTTGGGAATCTCCGACTCGGGCAGGAACGGCACCTCGATGCCCTCGAAGCACAGCGCGTTCTTATCCAGGTCGATCTTGGCCCGGTACCGCTTCAGCATGTCCAGCCCAAACAGCAGGTCCACGCTCTTGCCCTCCATGACGGTGAAGGCGCACGGCATCTCGGCCCCGCCAATGCGTATCTCGGCGTGGTGCACCCGGCCCAGAATCGCCGCCGTGCCCACGCCCACCGCCCGCCCGCTGAAGCGCTTGTCGATCAGCCGCATGATGCCGCACGCCTCGGCGCACTCGGGCGACATGATGGTGGCTTGGGCGCCCGAGTCGACAAAGGCCTTGACCGGGTGGCCGTTGACTTGACAGTTGATGTAGAGCATCGTGACGCGCCCAAAGACTGGGAGAGGATATGTGGTTAGCGGGTGCATGTTGTCGTCGTTTCGTTAGGGGAGAGCGCTGGGTTGGCAATGGACACTGGCAATGGCGCGCTGCGGCACTACATTTATAGAGGGGAGCAAAAGCCAAAAGGAGACAAGAGAGCATTCCTGGCCGGCAGCGAGGAGTGTAGTGTCTTGCTCGATAGCGCTGGGACCGGGCTGCAGCTCCAGACCGATCGGGCCCGACGGCCATCGCTTTAGTCCCGGGTCACAGGCCAGCGGAGCCGCGACGCCCATTTTCCAGGGCTCACAGGCTTTTTCGCCCCCCGGTTGTACAGTGCAGAGGTACACAGCGCCCCTGCGCAAGCCATGCGGACGGAGACAGGAAAGAAAGGACGTACGTACCTGCGGGATTGTGCTCGTAGGCGTGCTGCAGGTTCTCGATGACGCGCTCCTGGCGGATTATCTCCTCAATCTTGGCCTGGGCGTCGGCGTTGAACGGGTCGGCGTTGAGCAGGTTGAGCTGGTACTGGTGCTCGCGCTGCTGCTCCTCTTGCTGGCGGACCATGTTGGTCCACTCCTCGCGCCAGCGGTTGGGATCGTTGATGGCGGCGGCGAGCGCGGGCCGCTGGTCGCGCAGCTGGCTCAGAGCGTCGGCGTCGCCGAGCATGCGCAACCTCGTCGTCTCCATCTCCTCGACGCGCGGCAAGCCCCGCTGTTGTTGTTGTTGTTGTTGTTGCTGTTGTTGCTGTCGCTGTTGCTGTTGTTGCTGCTGCTGCTGGGGCGTGCCCCGGCTTCGGGAAGCTTGGGCGGGCTGTTGTCTAATGAGCATGGCCAGCATCTCGCCGTCCTGGATGCCGGCCTCCTCGAGTGTCTTGGTGTCGCCGACGAGAGGCTGGCCATTGAGGTAGAACTGCTGCAAGTGGGCGGGGAATTGCGTCTCGGATTGCACGAAACCCTTAAGGTCTTGGACGGTGAGGCCCGGCGGCAGGTCGAGCGTCAGGAGCTCCTGGTCGGCGGGCTCGTTGGGCGCGTTGATGGATATGGTTATACGCGGCCTGTTTTGTGCGAGGGTTAGCGAGTCGCACTGGATGGGAGAGATGTGGCTCACATTTGGACCTTGCGTGGGTGATGCAGGCGACGACGGATTGGGGTGGTACTCAGGCAAGTGAGAGTTTCGGGAAGGTTGGGAGGGAGTGTGTGTGTTCGGTGGACGGTGTGGGGGGGCGAGAGGCGGGGAGGCGGGGGGGAAGGGTATTCGAAGGAAAGGAATGGAAGACTGCGGGGGGATGGCGAATGATGACACGGTCGGGCGAGGATAGGTTTGGGCAGAAATATGTAATGCAATGTATGAAAAGGCCTCGAGAGGGTGGAACGAGTGGAACAGAGCAGAGGGAACAAGAGGGTAAGCGGCAGGCGGGGCAGCACGGCATCGTCACCACCAAGCCGGCTGACTAAGTGTGTACCTGGACTTGAGGTCATAGCAGGTACGAGAACAGCACACTCCCACTCTCACCCTCACACACCCATCCCTCTCGCACACTCCCCCTCTCACCCTCACACACCCATCCCTCTCGCCCACCCTCACACCACCACCAACAATGCCCCGCCCCCTCGAGTCCGAAAAGGCCACCCTCGCCGACATGCCACCCCTCACCAAATCCCCCAGCCAAGCCGTCGACAACAACTACGAAAACGACCCCGGCGACCGCCTGCAAAAAGACCTGCAAAAGGGCCGCCAGCGCGACGAGCTGCACCCGCTCGTCCACACCCTCAATCCCTCCTACATCGACTCGTGCGACCGGCTCGAGCAAGCCGCCTTCCCGCCCGCCGAGCGCGCATCGCGCGACAAGTTCGCCTACCGCCTCACCGTCTGTGGCGAGCTGAGCCTGGGCCTCTTCACGACCGCTCAAATCCCCTCGGCCGCCACGGCCGACGCCGCCCACCTCGTCGACTCGGCCGCCCCGGACCGCAAGGAGCTGCTGCTCGCCCACGTCTCGGCCACCAAGACGCGCAACACCACCGTCCGCGACCCGGACATGGACTTCCCGCCCGACTGGCGCGAGCGCGGCACCAGCGCGTCCGTGGCCCACGACAACCAGCTCGGCCACCATGAGGACGGCCGCACCGTCGCCATCCACTCCCTCGCCGTCGACCCGGAGCACCAGCGCCGCGGCCTCGGCAGGACCCTGCTGAAAGCCTATATCCACCGCATCCAGATGAGCGGCGTCGCGGACCGCATCGCCCTCATCTCCCACGGGCCCCTCGTGCCGTTTTACGAGTCCCTCGGCTTCGAGCAAAAGGGACCCAGCTCCGCGCAGATTGGCGGCGGCGGGTGGATCGATATGGTAGGTTTGGTTTGGTTTCGCTGTCGTTCGCGTGCTGTACCTACGCTAACCCATTGGTCCAGGTCCTCGAGTTCCCCGAGCAGCCGACCATGCAGCAGCGCTTCCAGCAGAGCTAGATGGACTCTGCGCAGCTCTCTCAATTCCCTTTTTTTCCCCGGCGCACGCGGCTCCAATTCGATAAAATGGCCGGAGTTTCGAATCAATGACTTTGATGACGATGATGAACACAAACATGAAATTGGCGATGATGGAAAAATAGTACGTGAATATGGTTGACAGAGTGGGGCGGGGTGGGTTGGGTAGAGGTGATAATGACGGAAAATATGACGAGCGAGCGAGCGTGTGAGCGGGTGAGTGAGCGACCAGACGACCGAGCATTGCCTGCCCTCCAACGCACCAAACCCAAGAATCAAGAACAGGAACGAACGAAAGACGAAAGGAACGATCAAGCACGCACGACCTACCTACCAAAGAAGCTCTTTCTCGTTCTCGTTGTCATCGTCATCCATCCATTGAATGCTGCAGTTGTTGGTATTTCGTTGGCATTTTTCTTGCTGCTTTGTTGTTCGTATTTCATTGTCATTCTCACAGCATCAGCATACACGCATGCATGCATATCATATGGACGTGGGGGTGCATGGTTTTGCATGTTTTGTTTCTCTGGGCGCTTCTAGGGACGGTGTTTTGTTCTGTTCTGTTCAAGCTTTTCTGTTCTACTACGCTCTGTTCTATTCCGTTTGGATCAAACTTTTCTTCCCTCCTTCCCCCCCTGTCGCACCATTGTCCCGTTCGCTCTACCATCAGCCGGTGCGCGTGCCAGTGGCGGAAGCGTACCTACGCAGGGTAGCAGGCGACACTTTTGACGAGAGAGGGGGGAAGGAGGACGGTGGCAGTTGTTTGGTTTAGGTTACGTTGCGTAGGGTATAGGTGTGGCACTAGGTGTAGGACCGTCTGTTTGTCTGTACGCTGTATGCTGTACCCTGTATGCCTAGGTTGGTAGGTAGATAGGTAGGTAGTGATTAGCACATCTCTACTGAGACGCACGACACGCGCTGAGATGAGCTCGATCGAGAACGCAAGACTGCCTCGCACGCCTTGCTAACGCTGCTTGCGCCCTTGATGATGATGATGAGGAGGATGCCCGCGCCCATTCACATGCCTAGCAGCGCGCAAATGCTCGGCAATGATACCGCATATCCACGTGTACCAAGATACAGATACAGACACAACAGACAGACAGATAAAGGACTGGCAAACGTGGCTGTGATGTTCTGCACTGTATGTAGGAGTAGTACACTGAAGCACACTACACGACACCCCACCCCACCCCACCCCACCACGCCGCGCTACAGCCAGCCATCCACTCACCCATTCATACAGACCAGACAACCCCCTCACCCCACTCACCCCACACCTACCCACCCAACCCACTCAATCAATGAAACGAGCCCTGCAGCGCGCTCAAGTCGCCGTTCGGAATGCCGAAGAAATTGAACCTGCCCTCCCAGAAACCGCCCCGGTCCAATCGTCAGCCAAGCGTGAACTACTAGCGTATAACCGTAACCATAAACCATAAACGAAAACACATTATCATCTTCTTCTTTCATCGTCTCCTCGTTCGTGTCGTAGCAGTAGTAGTGGTAGTAGCAGTAGTCGAGGAAAAGAACAGAAACATGCAAGCACGGAAAAAGAAAAGAAGACGAAGATAGTTATCGTGCAAAAGAAGAAACAAGAAACAGCAACAACAATGCTCATCATCTATCTGCCGCTCAGCCCCATCGACTGCAGCGCCTCGGCCGCCGCCGCCGCCGCCGTGCCCGACGTCGGCTGCTGCTGCTGCTGCTGCTGCGGCAGCGGCGCGTAGAAGCCTGCCGCCGTCGGAGGAGCCCGAGCAGAGGGAGGAGGAGCATAGTGCTGCGCGGAAAGGAAGACGTACCAGTCCTCGACGTTGAGCGTCGTCGGCGCGATCGGCTGGCCCCTGCTGCTGTTGCTCCACGTCTCGTCGTTGCCCACTTGCTGTGCGTGTTGTTGCTGTTGTTGGTGTTTTGCGTGTTGCTGCTGCTGCTGCTGCTGCTGTTGTTGCGTGTTCGCCATGTCTAGCTGTGCCCACGCGTTCGCGTCCGCCTGGTGCATGCTCTGCGCCGGCATCGACATCGCGCCGCCGTTCGACGGCAGCGGCTGCGGTTGGCTGGCCAGTATCTGCTGCGGGGACTGCTGCGACACGCGCGGCGGCGCCGGGTTCTGCGCGTGCATGGACATCTGGCCCGAGAGCTGCGGGTCCACGATCGAGTGCTGCTGGGTGGGTGAGATGGTGGGGAAGGAAAGATTCGTATCGGCGGGGAACAGCTGGTCAGGCTGGAAGTTTTGCCAAATGTCCTGCGACAGGTTGGGAGTATCGCGAGTAACGAGAAATAAGTCCGGAGGGGTCCCGGGATATGAATAAGAAGGGTTGAAAGGACTCGTGGGACGCGTACCGGAGCGTGACGGCCCCATAAATGCGTCTCGGTTCTGACGGGTCATGTCGGGCGAAGCTGCAGTCATTGTCGGTATCTGGGGCTGAAGATCTCGTGAAGGTGTGACGGCCGGAGTCTGCGGCCGTGATCGCTCATACGACACCTGCGGCGCGGGCGGCCCGCTGGCGAAGCTGATGTCCATGTCGTCAAACTTGCGCTTCAACGCTTCGTCCCTGGGCTTTGGGTGAGGATGCTGCGGCTGCGATTGAGCCATAGAAGGAGGTTTGGGCTTCTGATGCCGCTTGCCCGCGGCTTTTTGCAGCCTTTCCTCGAGAACCTTGTTCCCAAGAATTGACTCGAAGAGAGTATGAACCATCTTCGCGACGAGCCACACCCTTGAGACGTCCTTGAGTGCGTTCATACATACCGTCAGCCTCTGCTCGGTTGCCGAGACAATTTGCTTATTCGATGATCGCATCTGATAAACATGCATGATGAGTGCGGAAAACAAGCTGTAAACACTGGAAGGGGTCAGCATCGCTCAAAGGTTGGCTTTCTTCTGCTTACATAAAAGCAGGCGTATAACGTAATTCATCGTACGCTTGCAGGCTCTCGATGATCGCCGTGATCATGCCAGCCGCCTGGTAGGCAATGGTACGTGATGGATAAGCCCCTTGTAGCTGATCCATCTTGGGCGAACCCGCAGGAGGCATGTGTGCCCGATGAAGCAAGCAAAGGGTAGTGCTGGAGAGTGTTAGAAACTAGTAGAGAGCAGAGAATCGTATGCATACTAGTAGTTGGCGTGCAGCAGCGCCGACCAGAAGTGGTGGCGGCCCTTTTCCCAATAGACCTCTTTCGGGCAGTGTTGAAGCCAATCTGCAAGTGCCATATCGCTGTGTGTCAGGTCAATAGCATTCGTCCGCCGGAATTTGGAAGCAACAGAATACTGTTGTGACAGCACCAGGCCCATAATTTCACACAGCTTGACGTAGTTAATGAAGAACTGGACGTGCACGGGATCTGGCCTGTACTCGGCCGGGCGATCTGGCTCGTCTTCGATAAAATCGTCCTCGGAAATCATCTCAACGTCGGAGTCCTCGGGGTTGATCGCTACGGGCCGTCCGAGAGCTACCGCGACTGACCGATCTCGGGAGAAAAGCGTCCACCAGATGCGCTTCCACAATCGCTTGTCGGATCTGGTGAGCTGAGAACCCTCCACGCTGCAATTGTTTAGCGCATGTTTACCTAATCAATAGTCTGTATTGCCTACCTCCGGTGCATTCCGGAGCCTTGGGCCACTACAATGGCGACCCTGCTCCAGTAGAAAACATTTTTCGTGACATCTAAACAAAGTCAGTCACGTCATCGAAGGGTGGCGGGTGACTACCACCTTCCGGGCCTTCCCAATACCAGCCCATCAGAATAACCGCCTGGACAATGGTCACTCGATCGTCCTCGTAGTTTGCATCAAACAGCGCTTTGGCTCGCTTGTAGAAAGTCATGGCCGCTGGCGTCGTGGAACCGCTTGAATCCATGAGCTGCGGGTTGGTGCATACGCGGGAACCGGCGAGGAGTATGGCTTGCAGCAGGAGAAGAGAGGGCGGGTTCTTGGGATCTCGGTATTGCCGCATGAAGCGGCTGCGGTTGATGACCGGCACCACCGGTGCGACCCATCTGAAGAAGGCATCTACCAGCTCGTCGCACAGAGCGCGAGGCGGCAGCAGGAAAGCGCCTCTGGTGTGGAGGATGTTGATTTCAATGTCATCAAGCTCGTTGACGCGCGCCTTTGCGCCACGGACGTTTTCCGGCAGAGGATAATGCACCACGTCCGTCGTCCCGTATCGATCATGCACGAGGAGGGACAAATTGGAGGATTCTCCGAGGTATGCGACCCGACCGGCTTCCTTGATGGGGGCCCTTGCGAACTTTGGCTTCATAAACTGTAGATAGGACCCGTTGTGAGCCGACTGTTGCGCATTGTAGGCGGGCGGCAAGGCCGTCGAGGGGATGCCGTCGGGAGAATTCGTTACCGTCGTCTTTTCATCCGGGCCCAAGTTCAACGCCGTGGGGTTGGGGTTCTGCAGCACCGCGGCCGGCGAGTGGTTCGTGGTGACAATGTTGGTCGAGGAGCGCCGGTCACCATCCTGCAGGGCGTCGCTGCGGTCACTAGGCACGATGAGCGTCGCGCCCAAGGCCAAGAGGATCGGTTCCGGGCCTCACCTGTCCGTGTCTTTGGCCTTTGTGGTCGTCTTCTTCCGCTTGGGCGTGGGGATGCGACACTCGATGGCGAAGGCGGTGCAGTTGGTGCAGGGCACACCCAGGCTGGCAGCATCGCAACGAACCTGCGCAAAAGTATGGTGAGACAAGGGCGGGCTGGCGGGTTGGTGGGACACACGAACCTTTCGCGCATGGCACGTCTGTCGCGTGCGGAGGAGGCGTTAGCAAAGAAACCTCGGTGCCGAGGCACGATTTCGGTGCAAACAGGACGGCAAACGTACCTCACAGGCTCGCGATGCGCGCTGCCTTGTCGTTCCCCAGCACTGTCAGATGCCGTTCCGCATACGCCATGGACGCCGTCTGTCCACTCACCTGCGAAAGCTTGGATGGCCCGGCGACTGGTTCTGGGGGGCGGCCGAGGGCGTGGGCTGGATGGCGGGCGGCGGCGCAGGCGCGGACATGCCCATGAAGCTCGTCTCTTGGGCCATGGCCGGCGGTGCGCGGTGCGCGGTGCGGAATGCGTCAGGTAGTGGGGAGGAATGGTGTTGCAGCGTGTGAGAGAGAGAGAGGGCAGCTTGGACGGGCGCTGGTCGAGGCGGTACGGTACCCTAGGGACGCGCGCCCGGATCTCGTCGAGCGCGACAACCTACGGCGGGACAGTAGTGGTCGCAACGGCCAGTAGTCCCTTTTTCTCTCTTCTTGCTTCTTCCCTTCTGGGGATGTGAAACCGGCGCACCATTGCAGGCTGGGGGATCAGTGGAGAAAATGCAGCGGCCCGTCACGCATCATCGCTGCTCGTTTGCCTCCCTTTCCCTACCTAGGGCCAAACATGACATTGCCCTTCTGCCCCCGTCTCATTGGCCTAGGCCCTTCCGCATTCCTCTTTCGCGAGCCGCACGTGGTGCAGCTTGTGACACCCCCCTGCACACCCTTCTAGAATTTCTGGCTTGAGAAGCTTGTCTTTTCATTCATCACTTTGTACCCGTGGTAAATCTATCGCCTGTCTTGATCGCTAGCCTGATCCTCCGTAGGTAGCCTCCATGCTCATCGGCTCATCGGCTCATCCGGCCCTTTCGCGCCTCTGTCTGAAGCACTCCAGCATCACAGCCGTCTGCGCGGCCGTAACAAACTGCAGCTGAATCCCGTCCACTTCGCCGCGTCTGATGTCATCCTCGGTGACCCACAGGTAAGCCTGATGTTCGATGGGATCAAGCTTGACAGGAATGTCCTTCTCTGTCTTTTCCTTTCCCTCGGCCACCTCAACCTCGAATGACAGCTTCAGCCACATCTTCTTGCGCATGCCCCATCCCGAATGAAACTCAACACCCTCGCCAACCTGGTTGAGGATGGACACGGCACGGAGACCGGCCTCTTCCATGAGCTCGCGGGCGACGGCGTGAAAGATGGTCTTGTCTTCAGGATCGACTGATCCGCCCGGGAACTCCCAGCAGTTGGCGAAGGATCTCTCGGTAGCGCTTCGCTTGACGAGGAGTAGACGATCGTTGTGGAACACGAGTGCGCCAACCGCGACTTGGTGGTACTTTGGGTGAAGTCGCAAGAACGTAGCATGGTCGACTGAGAGTTGAGAGAGATCCTCTGGGAAAGCGAAGAGCTTCTCGGTGGTAGGCTCGCCAGCTGAAGACATCTTGAGTGATTGAAGTGAAGTGATGGTATCGACGACAGATGGGTTGGCAGGATTGATGTCGACGAAAGACGAAGAATGAGAAGGCTGTTTTGGTACTTGATAAGTACAGTTGTTGCCTGAATGAGGCTCTGAAGGGAGGTTGAATAGAGAAGTTATGTGGTTGCCTGGATGCAGTTTGATTTCAAGCTACACTGAAGGTCATTCGCAATGTTAGTTGCTTGATTGTCTTGGAGCCTTTGAAAGGAGTTTGTCAAGCTGTGAAGGCTTCTAAGGACCGTGTTTGGGCTGTTGATCATTCAGGTCAGGAAGGTGCAGCAACAAGTTCCGAAGTCGCTACAGGATCCTACTAAAGGGATTTCAGGCTTCGACAGCATCGTGACTTTTGATCCAATTAAATGTGAACTTTTGCGCGTATGGGCTTCTTCATTTTTATCTACCACACAAGGAGCAGCCTGGCAGAGGGGGGCAAGAGGATCGACCGCCGTCTTCCGAGATCTCCCCTCCGCATTTCGGGTTCGCTTCCAAGCTTTTCGGCCAGGACGTCACTGGTCCAACGTCTTGCGTCGTCTACTCGTACTTTATTCCCTCTCACCTCCACTTCATTTTGTCCACAGAAAAAACAGTTGAGCTGTCAGGCCTCAAAGGAAATCAAGAGCTGTGTCACCAATTTTTCTTCCTGGTAAGCCGGCGCCGGCATAAGAACGCCTCCCACCGGCTCATCCCAAAGCGGCAATCCGAACGTCCCTTCAGAGAGGCGGGGTAGAGGCTGCTTGTTGCACCTGCTCGTCAGCAATTCCCGTTCAATCATCGCCCAGCACCGCAAGCCGCGTACATAAGAGCTTCCCCGCCGCCATGACGAAGAAGCACATCAAGATCTCTACCGGCCTCAAAATCGACGCAACGAACTACTACGAGCGCAGAGAGGACCACCGCACCGGCGAGACTACCACAATCAGCCACAACCGCCCTGTGTCTGGCACGTCATCCGTCACCATCACCAGCAAGCCTCTGAAAGTCGATCATAGTTGTAGCTCGGGACCCCGCAAGACTGAGCATCACTCCACGTGGATTCCCAAGGTCGAGAAAGAAACGCGCACCTCTTCCGCGGAAACCAAGAAGGGCGAGTCGTACGATAGCTCAGCGCTTTTCGAATAGCACCTTGTCACCGTGACATCACCATGGAAAACCAACAGCCTCTGCGCATCGTTGTCGGCAGCGACGACGCCGGCATCAACTACAAAAACACCATTAGCTCCGACCTGTCCAACGACCCCCGCGTCGCCGACGTGATTGACGTCGGCGTCTCCGAAACAGACGACAAGACGGCGTACCCGCACATAGCCGTCGACGCGGCAAAGCTCATCTACGAAGGCAAGGCCGACCGCGCCTTGCTCATCTGCGGAACCGGCCTAGGCGTCGCCATCAGCGCAAACAAGGTCCCCGGAATCCGTGCCGTCACGGCCCACGACAGCTTCAGTGTCGAGCGTGCCATAATGAGCAATGATGCGCAGGTCCTGTGCATGGGCGAAAGAGTCATCGGACTGGAGGTCGCACGACGTCTCGCCAAGGAGTGGTTGGGCTATAGATTCGATCCCAACAGCGCTAGTGCGCAGAAAGTCAAGGCTATCTCCGACCATGAGGTTAGGAATTTTGACTTGAAGGTTTGAGTTTCATTTATCCGTGGAGCAAGAGAAGTTTACAAACGTTTCGGTGTTTTTCCTGACTGGCCCTGCCGATTTTTCTGTCCTTGAACGGATAAGCAAGCATATATGTTTTTATTAGTACCAATCATTCTTCATTCCGAACGCAACGCCTTAGCGTGAACCTCTCGATTCATCAAACAGCATCAATGCCACGACCCAACCTAAGCTACCATTCAGTTCTCTTCATACATCTACAGGCTAGTTCATGCCATTGTCGATCTACGGCCTGCTACAGGGTACGGTTACAAGCATTAACTGCTTTGCTCTCGGTTTATACCGACCACTGCGTCGGGAAGAATGGAACTTCGTTGAAGTCGCGGGTGTAGGAAGTACTTCCGAGAGACGTCTTCAATATCCTCTAAACACATTATTCTGGCTTTCTATTTGCTATACTATTGTTTTGTCCATGAAGCTACTGGATGTTCGCTTTCATTGCGTAAGGTTTTGAGGCAAATCATCAGGAAGAATAAAATAGGATGATTGCTTGTCATTGAAAGAAATGTAGTGTGAACAAACTGCAGAGCAGGAGAGCTTCTTGTTTGGCGACAGATCAAGGTAGATACAGCTGTTGATGTTATTGTCTTAAGTGGGCTTATGTCAGCTATTGTTCTGCGTCCCGCACAGATTGTGTCGAGCTTTGATTTGCTACGAACTGACTTATATAAAGCCACGGTAATCCACTTCTAATCTATTTCCGTTAGTACAGTAGCTATCCTTGCGTAGGTCCGATTTTTATGCTGCCATTGCCACTTGCATGCATATCTTCATAAGTTCACACGCCGCAACCTTGTTGCTAGAATAATTACTTTGCCGATCTTAGTCCAGAAAGGTACTTGTTCATGCGCGTGACTGATAAAAACCCCTTGTTCCCCGACAATTGCGAGCGGGGAACAGTACTGATCCGTAAATCGCCAGTCTCAAAATGTTTTTGGTCTCCGGAAGCGCTTGCCCGACGGTCAGACTGTGCCATCATCAAAATTTCATTTGCCAGGACCTAAACGCTTGAGTAATGAAGCGCGCGCGTGATGTCATAACTGGTAACAGAGCCTTCAATGTATCTGTATACGGGCAACTAAACTCCTTTAAGAAACAAATATATTTCGGAACTCACCATGTGATTCCTGAATATCTCCGTATGGCGAGATGTTTCATCGACTTTTCCAAAAGCGAGTAGTGGCAAGTGGCACAAATCCCTGCTCTTCTGTCTTCCCTGTAGTAAAGGCAGCAATCATAATTCATAAAGCTGTTTATCCCCCACTGGTCCAGTTTTTTTATTTGCCCACGTACCGTCGCATGAATAAGAAACGACAGCTGTGACGCTTATATTTTGCGACTCTCTCGTTCTTCACGCCAAGATTATCTAGATTTTTCGGTTCGATTTTAACCCATCGGAAGACAACTGGCACGTTCCCTTCCCCTCTCGCCATGTGTTTAAGTGAGAGAGAGTTGTAAGTCAAAACATAATTTATTTGCTCTTATAGTTCTGTACTGACAATGACTTCGAACGCCCCAGATGGGTAGATGTTTCAAGAGAGAAAGCCCTCGCCAGCCGAAAAAGTTCACAGTCATTAATTACCGCGATCGAGCATCTGTTCACTGCCTCGGCTATGATGATCACAGCGTAGATGGTCAGCACGTTCTGGATCAAAAACCCCTTACCATTTTGTTCTCGGTATTGGATTCTTCTCGGCTGTACCGATGAATGCTTCTGGAGACCCAACGCTCTTATGGTTTTGGCCGCATGTATCGCCTACAGCTTGGCCGCTTCATGGTGGTACAATCAGCACATACGATGGCCTCATCTGAACATCACCATTCTCATAACATTTTTGGGTGGAGTATCGTTGTCTATGGCTTTGCAGGCTGATTGGGAACACATGTTGAGGAATACTTTGACCTGGAGCATATTCTCGGGGCTGATGGTTAGCGGTCTCATGGATCGTCAAAGGACTCGTTAGCTGACTAGTTGTTGTTTTTCCACGGATATTACAATTGGCTTCGGTTTCACTTTATGCACTTGCGTACTAAACAACATACCAACCATTTAAAAGATTGTTATGTGGTACGGAGAAGATGAAATTGATAATGATCACAGCTTGTCTCCAAACATGTCTTCGAGGCTGCCCAAAAGGTGCACGCTTTATCATGAACTGGAATATCCACAGGAGCACATTGATGTTCCGATGCGGAAAATGTTTTCCGCAGCGCATAAGGAGAATAGGGTGACCGTAACAGTAGTGAGTCTCGAAGGATATCCCTGGGTCTTCCAATCGCCTAGGGACTCCCCTTAGGTAAGCGGGTTAAGGATAGTTAGTGCTGGGGGTTTTAACTGCACTCTTGTTTGTTAGCACGAATAAATTTACATCCATCTATGCAACGGGTTATCATATCTCGCTCGTTTATATAGCGCAAATAGCCACTCTTTCAGAAGTCAGACCGAGTTCATTGTTCTTCTATGTAGTCGCATTGATAAGCTTCTTAAAAAGAACGGTTTCATACGATGCAAAAAGTAACAGCTTCTAAAAAAATGCTAATATAAGACGTTATAACATCATAAGATTCAGTATCTACTTAGACGGCGGCCTCTCAAGAGCGGCCCGCGTAATAGCAGTAATCTTGTAGGATCCAAACTTGACTCCGGTTTCTCCAAAACTATCCCCCTTGACAGAACCCGCTGCAAGATCGCAGCCATTTGGCATGTTCTGTATCTTGTGCCCCAACTTGCTTCCGTTCCAGAAGTTTGTCCACCAACCATAATCCTTCTCGGTGCAGTCTGAATTTTGTTAGTGCCTAATTTGTAGACTATGTAAGTATCGGATCGTAACTTACCATCATTCACGTACATATCCATTGTGAAGTAATGGAAGATGTCGTCATTGTAGTTGAACCGGAACTCCGGAGCATCCCCATCGATTTTAATGCACTTGCCCGTATCGGCCTGGGTGCCAGAGTGATCGACGTTGCCGCTTTTGCACGAATAGGATACGGACCAGTCACTGCCCTCTGGAATGTCCAACTGATAGCTGCGGCGTTCAATGTTGGGCGTTTGGCTGGGAGCGGCAACAGTGCTGGAGACAAAAGTGCTAAGGGCGGCAAAGATAACAAATGGCTTTCCGTACATGTTCTCGACTTGTGCTGGTGTTTGTTGAGGGAAGTAAATGAGAGTTGAATGCGAACTGCTGTCTGGCTATTAGAATCGGGAGTACTGATTCCTTATATACCATAGGAAGTCGAATATGCCAAGGCAAACTGTCAAGAAAAGGAACGGGGATCATGTTCCTACAGAGGGTTGAAACGAATAGATCAGTCTGTACTGCATAGTGTTGTCTGACACTCCCGTACTAGTGTCTTAAGCGTAAATACAATCTCGCCTCCCGCAAGCCTAAAGACGGTGGCGCTTAGTGGTTTCTTCAAGTACGTTTTGGTTCTAGACTCTTTTCGTAGATCAGGCTTCAGGTTGCGGCCCCCACGATTGGTTCTCAAATTTGGCCCCCATACCCCCTTGCGCATGCCTTAACGACATGTAAATCCTGTGCAAATCTGCGGAGAGGTCCTTGTCAAAATCCTTTGCTTCGGCTAGAGTTTCGAGAAGGAAGGAACGGCCCGCCTTACTGGAAACTCACACCACATTGCGGCCTGGGAGATCAGTCGCCTCATCAATGATCCAACCACCATCTGCATCGTGTTAAGGCACTTACACTACGGTCACTGTTTAGAAATAACGCAGGGCGTGCAGCTCCTACATGGCACTGTCACAACCAACGATCAGCAGTACGTCATAGAACATTCGAAATGCGACCTCCCTCTTAGACATTTCAGCGGCTGCAATCAAAACCGTTGGAAGATATTAGCAATACAGGCTATTTCGCATGTCCCATTATAGCATCGCATAAAGCCTCCAACCCAATCTTCCCTGGCCCTTCATCCAACATCCACAGCCACGGCTCAATTAGTTCCACCTCCATCAATACGAATTCTCCACTCTCACTTACGACTCCATCTACCCTTGCATACATCAGTTCATCATGTCCATCCTCCTTAAAACCTGTTTCTTTTTTCAATGACTTTTCCTTCTCCAACAACCACACCCAAAGCTTTTCCGCCACCAACCTTCCAGACTCGGGCACTCTTTCGTCATCTGCCGCCATAGGCTCCCATACACCCCCGAATGCCGAATTGATGCGAAACTCGTCATCACGCGGCCTCTTGCGAACAGCGTGAGTAAGGCGCCCATCGACGACAATCATGCTCCACTCACCCCCACTGCCGTCGCTCGCTGCGATACGTGGTAGGTACTCCTGCACCAAGAGTGCAGCGTCCGGTGCGGCAGAGGAATGCATTGCAGCAAGAGCATCGGCGTCAGCGGGAGTAAGAGCTAGCGGAGTTCGAACAAGGTGGGTTGCATAACCAGATGCGGCGACGGACGGCTTGAGAACAACGGGGATGGCTGGGGCTGCAGCAACGTAGGGGTCAGAGGCGAGGTGGCTCGCAAGGCCGAAGAGGTCGGTTGTAGAGAGAGGGAGAAACGTTGTGCGCGGGACGTGGAAGCCGGACGAGGAGAGGGCTTGAAGCTCGGCGAGATAAGTTTTGTTGGAATTCCAGGCAACGAGAGCGGAAGGGTTATAAACGCGGAGAGTCGGGGAGAGGTGCTGCGCAGCGGGGAGGGTGGAAGTAAGGAAGGTGGTGAAAGCCGGCATGTGACGGATGTAATCGTCGACGGCGAGAAACAAGATGTGAGAATAGGTGGAAGCGATGTATTCTGGCGTGAGACCAAGGTCTTGAAAGCTGCGCAGAGCAACGCTGGCACCTCGATGGCGAAGGGTTTTGAGTATGTCTTTCAAATAATCTTCCATTTTGCAGATATAGTTGTGCGCCTCCGACTCCGGAGTTGGAAGATTGGCCGTCACAAACAGAAGGGACGGAGTAATTGTATCCATGCTTAGAGAGGAACACTGTTGCTATACCGTGAAAGGTTCAGAAGATGAAGGTAAAATGATGAAAAAGCAGCGATTAGGCAGTAGCTTTTACGTTGATGCTCACGTGGCAGAGCTGCAGGCCTTACTAGATAGAGCTAGCGTATAGGGTTAGCAACTCCGCGGCCGTCGCTCCATCGATCAATCATCTAAGTCGCACGTAACCTTACGGAAGGTTTAACCCCGTCGACCAATCAACCAATCTCTTATGCGCTGGTGTAATCCAGTCTATACCCCAAAACAAGATTTTTATTTTATCGTAACAGGCTGCCAGCGAGGGAACCCATCCACGAGGAGTTCCTGGGCTAGGTCAAAGCGTTTATATCTGCTTAAATACCCCCGCTGCAGTAAATTTACCTCGGTGGGATCATCTTCAACCCCACAAAATCGTCAAAGACCTTGAAGATAGACTCTATAGAGTCAACGAATCCAAAGAAACCGAGCTTTCTCGCCTTTGTAGTACTGTATTTTAGAAAGAGTGGTGAGCTTTTGTTCAATATGGAGGTCAAGAAAGGGCACCGTCAACCTTACCTGTAAAGTATCGGATATGACATCGAGAGTGCCATGTCCGTGAACCCAAAGATCCTATCCACATCACCAAACTCCTTGTTGATCAATCCATGATTTTCGACGAGTTCTCTCCACGCCTTTTGTACTTCCGGTCTCTTCGCCCACTCTGTCAACGTAAACTTTGAGCGTTGCACAGCTGCTGGTCCGAAACCTCTAGGTGGAGGCTCATATGGTGTCATTGCCTCACTGAACTTTCCATTGACATCAGGACCTTCGTATGGCATGTCGAAGTGACCTGCGAATTTGGGCCAGAATTTTCCCCAGGTGAAGGCACTGTCGTCGCATACGTTGAAGCCTTCGTTAGATGCATCCTCGGTCAGGACGGCCCATTCAGAGAAATAGCCGTTCATCATGGCACTGGAGAGGGTTGTCGTTGTTTCCCATGCCTTGAGGTCGCTTGTGTACGTGAGTGGCTGGCCTAGGTGCTTTTGCACTGTGGCGTACACCGCAAGAGGATAGCATAGGTTCATGGCCGCATCTGGAGCACTTCCGGGAATCCATGAAGGTCGTGTAGTATTCCAAGATATCCCATGTTTGGCACAAAAGGTCTTGAGATAATCCTCTTGGTTGTAGTAGAAGTTTGGTTCGAGATCGATGCGCTTGTCGCTTTCTTCGTTGGGAACAGCCATGGGTCCGAGGTGAACGCCATAGTATTTCGTCCCAAATTGAAGAAGGATTCGCTTGGGCAAGGTATCCGCGATAGCAAGCCCCTCACAAAAGTTTCTGAGAAGTGATACTGCCCATTGTCAGTTGATTTTCGTTTCCCTGTCTCAATATGGATGATTACTCACTGTTGACATTCACCAACTCATCCGCGGCACTCCACATATGAGCATCATCTTGAGGCTTTGGTTGGATGTAGGCAAAGAAGAAGACGTAATCACATTTGAGACCCTTTTCCTTGAACTGCGTTCCAATTTCCTCAGGACTCTTCAAGAAATCCATTGAGATGAACTCGACTTGAGGCGGAAGCTCAAGGTAGGGGGGCCTTCGAGACAATGCATAAATCTTTTCCCAACGTTTTGGAGATTCGCACAAGACACGGAGCTAGTGTGAATGGTATGCATTAGCATGGTGTGGAACCGGCTGCTTGCGCTCATCTTACCATGTGTGTGCCTGAAATGCCATTGGCTCCAGTGACAACAGCTGTCAGGTTCTCTGTGTCTTCTGGAAAAATAGGTAATCCGTGATAAATATCCTTGGTTTGGATGAGATGAGTCGACATTTTGTCAATTGGAGGCTTCTAAAGGGTTTGACTCTTGAGTGTGTTGCCATTTATTCCGACGGAAAGCCATCCTTTAAAGCAGATATTTTGGTCAAAGCTTGCTAATCGATCGGCAGCTAAATACTCTGTGAGCTGATAATCTGTCAAACCTTTACCTTGTTAGTTGCAGTGATGATATGGCTGGCCCGGTGGGTAAACGATCCGCGCAACATGATTGGCTGAAAGTTCCACCGGAAGTTTTCTCGCTAACCAGGCTTAACTTCCACCGGAAGCAGGCAAAGCCATTACGCCGGAAGACCAACTTCCGTCACAGCCAGGCGGGATATACCGCCCAGCGATAACGACTAGTGTATGGAACATAAAATAAGGCAGTGCATGGAATTTCGTTAGACCAAATCCTGATCCCAAAGCCAAGCTTGACCGTAATTGTTTAGGTCACCAAAGTTGGTGCCCCGGTTGCCAGTGCTGAAGCAATCGAGTGAGAAAGAGCCTAAGGTAGAGTTTGCGTTCGATTGTTGTTGGTCGAAGTCCGGCCAATTGTTACAGTCGGTAATCACTAGACAGCGGTACAAATCAGTCCACGAGGTAGCATCACAAGAGGCAAATATAACATGTACCTTGTTGCACCGAACCGATTCCATACAGTAGATCTGTTTCTTGTAGATTTGTTTCCTGCAGAGTGATCTCATTGCTTGCATCTTGACCGCTGTGAAAATCCTTAGGTAACCGTGGTGCATTACTCAAGAAGTCTGAGTCCTCAAAGTTGGCAACCGATGGTTGGATAGTCGAGAAGATATTGGTATCCGGAGGTGGAGACGTAGCAGAGCGTTGTTGTAATGACTCGACACGAATTTCTGGTAAGCTTGCCTCCGCATCTGTTCCGAGAATACCATTCATCTCTCTCTTCAGAAGAAGCCGAATCAATTCTTCTATAATCTTTGCGCCTTGCGCTGAAAGCAGATTATTCCGCTTCATTGCATTGAAGTTGGCAAGTATGCGAGCTATTGCCTGCTTTGCCTCTTGCGCCAGTGTAGAAAGGGGACTCGAAAGGGCGAAAATGCTGAGAACAAGAGCGGCTGTTAATAGTCGGACGCTCATATATGCTGCGCCATGTGTTTTTCTTAGATCAGACACAGCCTTGTGGTTAATGTCGATTTTTGAGGACCGAATCGCCGATTCCCAGCATTGTTTTCTGCTGATTGCTACTTGCGAAGCTTTTTTGGCTACTGATTGAAGAGGATTATCCACTGAGAGGCGAGAGCGATGCAACAGAATCTGGATGTTGTCATACGCGAGCTGAAGCTCGAGAGCCTGAATATTGAACCGGTCAATGATGGCTGCTTCCTGTGTACCTGTATGCTGTATTGGACCTTTGTACTGGAGCTCCGGTGGTAGAGCTGAGTACCATTTGACCAATTCCTTGTGAGTTTCTTCCAGTCGTGTACCGATGATTTGCGCTTTTCCATCCACATATTTTGTTCGGACATATAGATCATCGATAATCGGTGTAGCAATTCTGTATAATTTGATCTTGTATCGGAAGTGTGAGAAGATATTGACGCGTTCGTGCGTTCCATCTTCCAAATCCTCCAAGGAGCGGTAGCGAGGATGACCTTCTGTGTCGTCCATGTTTTTAGGTATGCTGACTTCGTAGTCTAACTCCCGGATCATGTAAGGCCGTCCAAATGTGAATGAAGAGAAGCTTCCGGACTCGTCAATAATCTGTATTAATAATAGATTGGGACCAACATACCGGTCGAAAACATACAAAACCCACCAAGTTCTCGCCCATTCTGCTCTCTCAATTTGTGAAATGTTCTTCCACGAATGCTCTTTGTGCAGCCCGATAGCCTGTGCACACCGTACACCAGCGCCAAGGATAACGAAGGCTCGATTTGGTCTGCCATAACAAAGATAATAAGAGCTGAGGAGTACGCAGATCTGAACAGCTTCAATGCCGGACTCGTCCCATACTTCCAAAAGGCGTTCTTCAACAACTCGAAACAGCTTTGCTCCTAGTGCAATGCAATCTGGAACAGTTGTCGGGTCAACATATTTGGCACCGAGCGCAAGGACCAAGAAAAGTAGGATGATTTGATTTTTCTTTCGACTCGGATCTCTTTTGGAGAGTATCATCGGTTCATACTTAGCCCTGAAGGCTGATTCCTGGAAGAGGTCCAGAATGGAATGGACTTTAGTAAAATAGGCCTTAAGCAAATGACTAGAAATGCTGTGAGATGGCAGATCGATACTAAAAAGCCCGTATATTGGAGCTCCTTCTTCGCTGTTTGAAAATGGAAGCATAGTAGTTCCTCCAGGAATGGCGGATGTCTCATTGCTCAAATCTCGATGTCGGTCGTAAATGTCGACGATGCTATGCGTCAATCCGGTCGGTGATGCGCAAGGACGCACTTGCATAAATGTATTCGACGTCTGTTCAACTCCATGAAGCTGTTCGTCATGTTCTGCAGGGGTCTTTGGTCCAGAGTTTTGAGGCTGTATTGAGGTGCTGTTTTGGGCTGGCTGGCTTCTTATTCGGACGGGCTGCGGTATTGACGAGGTTCTTGTTCTTTTTCTTTGCTTTTTTCCAAGTTCAGAAATACATTCAATACCAGCTCTTGAACAAAGTGTACAAGGCCGATGGTCATCGCATTTCAGTTTCTGACGCTTGCACCGAACGCAAGCAGATCGTACTCGTTGCCGCTGCAGGTTTCGGTTGATGTGCGCTTCCTCCATTTTGAGGGCTGGGAACCGTGGAAAGGTGAGAGCCAGGGAGGTGAATGAAATCGGCCCGCCGAATGTTTGTCAGATACTTATCCTAACCATAGATAGTCTAGTGGGACATTAGAATGTTATCACGAGGCTCCCGCTTAGGACGTCTTCTTGATCGAATCAGCACCATTCATCCCCCAATCGATTCTCATGAAGCAACATTTTGACCTGGGCACAATGATCTCCAGTACTCGTAGGTTTTGGAATGCATTGCGGGAGAGGAATGGGTTGGGCACTAGCGAGGTGTGATGGTAAAGGAGCGACAAGAGACGGGAGTACAACCGCGGGAAAGTCCGGCAGCAACTGAAGTCAGAGAGGTGAAAGTGTGATCGAGGCAGATGATGGAGTAGATGACAAGCAAGAAGGCGATGCGAAGAGGCGGAGATAGGTGTGTTGTGGAAGACGGGAGATACTGTAATTGTTGCGGAGGGCGGAGTTTCCGCGACCGGCGACGACGACACAACATGCCCTCTTCAACAACACCATTGCATGCCCAACAGCCCCATTTTCTCGTCTTAAATCGCTCATCATGGTCGAGCAGGCAACAGAAGACTCCACCACTGACAGCAACGACCAGCGCCTCGCTTCTGACGTCGGAGAGGGTAGTGGGGTGGTTTGAAAAATTAGAGGACAGTCAAGACAAAAGCCAACACGGATGATAACAAGCAGCAGGTCACAAGCGCATGCTTCGTCGATTTTCGTCTATATTTAGACCACCCAATCCTGCAACTTTCTCACTTTCTGTACTCTAAGCTCACCCTCGTACATACCGCACCCGCACGTGGCAGCAACATCCGTCGCATTCCTTTCAACACCAGTACTGGTCTATCGTCTATCCCTGCCATTAAGAATCCTGTGTTGGGTCATTGTAGCCACTGAATTTCTCGTGCTGTCCTTATCAGGTTAAGTCGTGGCCCCCAATAAAAGCCACACTTACTCACGTGTGCCACTGTGCATGGGTTTAGAAGAAACCAACATTGTGGACCTTCAAGGCTGTTGCCTACTGGTGTGCGTCGCAGCCTAAATGCGAAGTTCAAAGTTGAATATTCTCTTCGATTGCCTCCCAATCCCCATCTACCTGCAACACCAGGTCAACACTCTCGACGAAATACTTAAAAATGCAGTTCGACGATAACGGCTGTCCAACAAGCAAAGACATCGTCTACTCGCCCTTCAAGCTGTGGACTTCCATTTGGCCAGATGGGTCGTCAGGCCTGTGCTGGAACTACGCGAGCTGTGTTTTCACTCAAGCCGACGAAAGTCGCAAACAGCAGTTCGCCGCCACCGCGCTTGTCATGGGCCTGCTTCCGGTCGCTCTCTTGGAAAACACCTGGCCGGACAATCGGGAAGTTGCGATCACGGGGAAGCTGCCCGTGGCAGTGGAAATTCTTGTCCGCACTCTCGGCCTCAAGCCTGTCGATGGTCACTCCGCCAGCTCACAGGCCAAACCTTCGGCGTCCGCCATCGCAACCTGGGCGTCGAACGCCAAACCGAACATTGTCATCCTGGTGACAGCCGCAAATTCACTTGCGCTTTGCGCTTGCTATGCCGTTCTCGTCATCCTCGAATATACTTCAAAACGGTCAGCCATCGGTTGCACCTACTTCGCCACCGTACTGTGCTGGTACATAGCTGCCCTTGTTCCGGCCAGTACTCATACCCTACTATCGAGGATTTCGAGCGGACAAGGCGTGGAGGAATTCTGGCTTTCTCAGATTGTCCGGGCCTTCCACAGCGGTGCGGGGGTACTCTTGTTTAGCTCCATAATGGCAGTGACCCCTATCGAACTTTTCACATGGGTTGTGGCTAGCTTTGTCACTTCGCTCTGCGGCAGGCTTCTGGCACTCTTCATCTGTATCCTGAGGGAGAAAATACGACCAAATGGTACGACGCGATACAGCCAAGTAACCCACATATAAGCAGCTTTCTCTTCCAGCCACGAAGATATTAAAGGACATTCGAAAGCTCTGATGCGTACGTTCGATAACATGATCATCTTGGAATCGGTTTTTGGATACAATATTTCACCAATTGAATCCAGTTTTCTTGGACAGAGAGTTATTTATTTCTGCCTTCAAAGAGTCTGATTGTCCACTTTTGAATACAGTAACAAATGTTTTCATAAAGACCTATATTATACAGCTGAAATTACTTGTCCATTAGCACGCAAACCTTTCTTCCGTGCTCTTATTACAACTTTCTAGAGGTGAGTTATTTTTCTTTTTTACCCTGCTGTTTCTTGTACTCTTCTATTGTTCTTCGAATGCCCTCGTGGAGTTCCACGAGTGGGGCATAACCCAGCCTCTCGCGCGCCTTGTCACACTTCAAAGTCCTAATCAAGTAAGTATATCCAACAGTCTCGACGCTCATGCCGGCCTCCTTCTTGTCCAGGGAGAACAGCCATACGCCCCACTCCGCCACAAATCCCATGATCAGGCCAACCCACAGCGGGATCTTGACGATATCTTTCTTGGGAACCGGCTTTCCCAGAGCGTCTGCAACAGCGAGCGTGAACCCCCAAAACGGCAGGCGTCCGAGGTTGGTGATGTTGATGGGCTCGCCCTCAACTCGACGGTCGGCCGGCAACGGCGGTTCATTGGCCGCGCGCAGCAGCGCCGATGCGGCCAGAAATAGCCCGTGAATGAGGTTGTCGATGTAGCAGAAGTCCCACTGGTTGGTGCCTTCGCCCAGCTGGAGGCGCGCGCGACCCGTTTCGACAACATTGATGATCTTGCTGATGAAGAGGTCGTTGCCGGGTCCGAAGAGCGTGCACGGTCGGATCGCGACGGTGAGCATGGTGCTTCCGTCCTTCGATGCGCTACTCCGATTGGCGGCGAGCACATCTTTCTCCGCGACAGCTTTGGTGACAGTGTATACACGCTTTTGGGCCGGAGGCTGCAGTACTGGAAGGTTCTCGTCGGCCTCGATGAGATGGGTGCGGTTGTCGTGCACCACGGATGACGAGGAGCAATGCACGAAGGCTTTGACGGTGCCTACGTCTCGCGCGGCGTCGAGCAGGTTACGTGTGCCGTCGACATTGACGCCCCACAGGATGCTGTGGTCACGAGCGAGAATTGGCGCGCAAGCAGCGTGAATGATGACTTGCGGGGGAGGATTGAGCGAGCGAATGAAGCTATGCAGCACCTTGGAGTCGGTGATGTCGACGCGGTGGTACGAAGCACCGGGCAAGGTGTTGGAAATGTCAATGTCAATGGCGGTGATGGCACACTCAGGCTGTGCTTTGATCAGGCCGGCGATGGCATGGTGGCCCACGAAACCGCAGCCGCCGGTGACCAGGACCGAGGCAAAAGGCTCATACTTTGTGCTTGCCATTGCGTGTTTGGCCAATACGCTGGGGACCGAGAATCTACTTATCCTCCGGGCCTGAGCTTTGCTATGTACAGATCGTTCCCGAAGGTGCCGATCGCGGCCGCGTAGACTGCAAGGGCCGGGGATGCGGGATGCTTGGAAACTGAGAGTGGGTCTCTTATCAAACGTCGCGGATACCCTTGACGCGCTAACTGGGAATGGTGTAGGTGATAGTTCGTCTAAACCGTGTCTTGACCATTTGCGCGTCCCTCCGCGCCGGATACAACCACGCCACCCTTTGTGGCGCTGTCGCGAGCGCTTGCAGTCGACCCTTGCCTGGAACTCTCCCTAGATACCAATGACACCACCGAGCTGTACATCCGCAACGCTAGACCCCGGCTATGATCAAGAAAAGCCGGCATGTTGAGCAAGCAACCGGAGATGATTGCAGTGTTGATTTCCACGATGCTGTGCCCTGGTCAACATGGGTTGCACTGCTAATTTTAGAGCGAACTTACGAATACAGGCTGGAATTGTTCGCTTCCACCCATAGTATCTCGGAAGATCCCATCTTCGCGACAAACAATCCAAGCCGAGTCGTGCTTGCTGCACATGCTCGACAATGCAGATCAGCACGCTCTGTTGAATTTGCCAACGGAGAGAGAGACTTACACTAGCCCCGCCAAGAAGCTAAGGGCGATTAAAAACTTGCGCTTCGACTGTACTAGAACCCGGAAAAAGGGCGGGATCGGCAACATCAACACGTAGAAGTCCGTCGCCACCGTCACTGCTGCCTGAAAGATGATGAGGTTCGTGCTGATGTTGTGGCATAGGTGCGTTGATTGCGCGGCTGGCCTGATGTACTTGAACTCGTAAGTATTTACAAGTTAGTTTTTCTGCTAATCCATCGTAGTCCTTAGCAACTTACTTGAATCTCTCTAGGATGACATATGATACTTTAGCTCTAGAGACGGTAGCAACGATAGTCGTTGGCCGTTGCCGATCAGACATCCAATTCGTATGGTATAATTAAATATCCTTTGCCTCGCGAACCGATTAATTGCGCGGCTAGCAGGCCTACGAACGGTTAAATGAATTATAGAAGATAAATCCCTTAGAGAGTAACCTCACGACCCCTAGAACACCAGACTATAATACCAGAGATAACATATGTGAAAAACGATAATCCAATCACTATCCAAGCAAATGGCTTTATAGATGTGAGAAGTGGGCTACTCTCAGGTATATTATTCATCCCGAAAAATGCCTGAGAAAAGTCAGTGTGTTTTGATTATTCGTGCTAATTCATCGTAGGATATTGAAAATAGAGCATGAGGGCCATCCCTATTAAAAGGATTTAGGTCTTTAAAATAACTAAAGATCCAATAGGTCCATTCTTAAAGAAACTTACTGTTACGAAGGTTAAAGGAAGGTAGATGATTGTTACGATCGTAAATACAAGAATATATCGGTTGAGTTGAGTGCTCTCAAAAGCTTCGCGGACAGCGGTGGTATTATAAAGCTGCGTAAATTAGTTATCTTTGCTTTATGAGACGTGAAGGACTTACGCTATTACTGAGGCTTATGATATCCTGTTGTTTCTCCCGGCACCGACTGCGTATACGATCGAAGCGGTCTAATAGTACTTGCTAGCGGTTTTCCCATTCTCTAATTACCTTCTCTATATCGCTTCTTGAAGCCATCGATTCCGGCTGCTTATCGAGTCTCGAAAGGTACCCTTTAAAGGTATGTACGACTTTGAATGACTAATTACCGAAGTCGCGGGAAGTTTCGTAAATCTAGGCATTAAAGGTGCGTAGTAATTGAGATACCTTTAAGTAATCTGTTGAGCGTCTACTTTAAGCGCTAAATGATATGTTGTCGATGTCAGATATCTATCGTGGTTAGCAAAGGAATTTAATAAAATAATAGGGATTACCTTAAGAGCGACCTCTCCTTTATTTATTTATTTATTTATTTATTTGGGTTTAACGTCCTTTTAGAGTCGGGGACTATTAAAGACGAGCTATTAAAGCTAGGTCTAGGAAAGAAAAGTAGCTAGGGAGGGGCTTTTACCCTATAGCTAGATCTAGGTAGGTACAAGCAACGGTTCGCCTGATTGATTGATTGATTGATTGATTGATTCGTTTTACGTCTATATG